GAACCTTGCCTGCGTGTTGTTCAATAAATTCAGTGATTCACTAGACCCAACAAATCTTGCCTTCAATCAATATGGGGTTTCGGCTATTGTGAGTCTGGAAATTCTACTGGCTTCGACACTCATCACTCGATTTATTACAGACGGACAAGACGTCATTGTATCTGATTGGTGCCGTAGGTGGTCCTATTACCCAAGACCTCGTCAACGGTGCCACGCTGGCTTTCAACCAAGCAAACATCACGTACGCTTCAACCACTTACTTAACATCTACTTTGGTTGTTGATGGTTGGGATAGGGACATCACAAACGAAGGCTTCCAGCTCTCCTTGCAAGGATCCTTGACCAATGTTGGCCCTCTAGACGCTTTGATCGAGTTTGTTGAACCAGTGACGTATGTCTTTGCACAGTTTGTATCTGCAGGTGCTCATGTCGGACAGGGTGACCTGGCAAGGCCATAATATTGCGACCATTGCACTGCCTCCAGGTTAGCTGGTTAAAACAGACCACATACGGAATACTCATTGTAACCTACAGTATGTTCTGCCGCGAATACCGGGGTTCCGAACTATAACACGCAAGGACAGCTAGTAATCACCGATCAAGTCCAGTGAGCAGAATTGCATTCGTGGCATCTTTTGCAGATGCTGACAACAGTACCAGGTTCACATCATTTGCGACATATTTGCTACACAATCCAAGTTTTGACTGGACGATTTCTACTTCCTCCCTCAAGCTAACCGCTCTGGGAACAATCTTCAATGGAGTCTCAATGTCGAAGACGGTCACCTTGAAAGCATTTAATGGTCTCCCAGGTGTCACGATCAGTAACTTCCAACTCCCCTCCGATGATCCGGCTGGAGGGATTACGATATCGACAGACTCAATCATTCCTTCCCCTGCGCGTTTGTACAGTTTCTTCCGCTACCCCTTTTCTTTCTAATTTCTTCTAGAACTTGGCATCGACCTTGGAAATGTTGGATTCCAAGCCTACTTCGAGAATACTCGGATCGGACGTGAGAGAAATTTTGACATAGCCAACACCGTTGCCTAATGCCTTTGATAGCACTCACCGCTAGTGACCTCGTCCTCCTACCTGAATCCTCAGTGACATCCCACCTCAGCGGACAAATGATACCTCAAAGTGGCTCTGGTCTGAGCACCATCGGCAAATTATTCTCAGAATACCTGGCTGCGGATAATATTACACTGAATGTCCAAGGCGACACTGTTCAGCCTTCAGGTGCAAACGGACCAGTAACATGGCTCAGTACTGCCTTTAAGACTCTCACACTCGATGTTATTTTGCCCGGAAAGAAGTTCGACGTAGGTTCATTGACAATTGCGCAGGATAAACTTGTGCTAATGACAAACAGATTATCCAATCCATCACACTCTCAGATTTGAGCTTGACAATGCAAAGCCAGGACCAGGCATTTTCTCCATTATCAGGTTCCAATAACACTGTGGCGCAATACAAGAACCCCTTCGGTTTCTCATTACAGGTGATTCAGTCTACTGTCAACATGGATCTCAGCTATGGAGGTACAGCTGCCGCTCAGGTAACGTTGGTTATCGGTCCATGTTAGATGACACTGACCCTTTTGTAGTTGAACCTTCCTCAATCTAACAACATTGGAGGGGTATCAACTGGGAATCTTGCTACCTTGCCGATCAGTTTCCATAATGTCCCATTGACTTCAGTCAACAACGGTGCCTTTGAAGCTATGTTTGCTCAAGTGACGGACAAGAATTCAGCAGACCTTGGATTGAGCGGAACAGTTGATGTGACCGCCAAGACCACCATTGGCGATGTTCCTATCTCAGGAATTGCTTTCGATGTAACTTCAAGCCTAGCTGGTGAGTTTCAATACGAACCAGCTTCAATTCGTGCTTAAAACTGTGTCATAGGCATGAACTCTTTTGATGGCAAGGCAACGATAACTAACATCTCGATATCTGGCAGTGGTGGGAATGGTGGGAATCAATATATCATCTCGCCCCTCACGTCTTCGATGAACAACCCGTCCAACGTCTCACTTGACACGGTTGACATTGCCCTGCCAGTGTACTACCAAGATGTTATGATTGGTCGAGCAGCATTCAATGTACGTGAATGTTGGTATGGATATAGCCCTAGCTGAACTTCTCGTTTAGCCCTTCAACCTGGTTCCAGGAGAAGACACGATTCCAGGAGAGTTTCATTACGAGCCTGCAAACCCTAATGATACCGTAGCTGAGGTTGGTGTCGTGGACTGTATTCTAACCTGGTTATTTATTTCTGTGACGTAGGCCTTCCTCACCAGCTTCCTGCAAACTGGCAATAGCCTTCCGATTACTATTCAAGGAGATTCTGCGAGTACACCATTTGCATCACTCCAGTCGGCACTCGAAGGCGTGACTTTGACGAGCAGTGTCACGGGTAAGCAGAATCGCGCCTGCTCACCCCTTGTCGCTCATGGAAGTCGCAGGCTTGAACGTCGCCCCGATTATCTCCCACTTATACCCTGAAATCACCTTAGCTACACTCGTGACCAACGAAATCAATCTCAGCTTCGACGTACGTCCCATTTCACGCATGCTCTAGATATAAAACTCATACCGCGCAAGGTTACAAATCCTCTCGATGCTGAACTCGAGATCTCATTTGTGCAGGCTGATGGCTTGATTAACGGAGAAATTTATGCGCATTTAGACCAGGCATTCAGCTCGTTTGTAATCCCTCCAAAGCAGACTGTCAACAGTGGAAAGTTTGGAAATGTTAAGCTAGTCAAGGGTGCCCTTGCGTCCCTACCCATCATTCCGTTAGGCTATTTGGACATCCAAAGTGTAGTAACAACGAGGTCAGTGTCGGCACATAATAAGGACGCATGGAGTCGCACTGACCGACAGCGTATAGGGCGGGCAGTGGCGGATACCAAATTCCATGGCTTCATATCAATCAAAACCATGTCACTGCTTCGTATGATCTCGGCGTCAGTCTCGCGGACCTTTCCTCAGCAGGCCAGTCAATGACGGCGACAACGTCGCTTGCTGGTCCGACCGTAATGGTTCCCCCGCTGTCAGCCGTGACCGCGGGACTTGGATCCTCCACACCAAGCTCTGGAGCCCCCGCATCTGCGGCACCTGGGCCCTCCGGATCCAACCCAGTAAGCATGTGTTCTAACCGTCCTGAGTTTTGAAATTGAAATCTTGCTGCAATTCCAGTCTACTCCCCCTCTACCTACCTCCCCGGGAAATACCACGATCGGACCGCTGTGATTTATATTGTATTTAATTTTGCAATTTGGGACCTCGAATACGTTATATTTTGTTTACTTCCACTGATGCTGGATTGCGATCTTTTACACGTGTATCGTCAATATTGCTGCAATCTTTATACCGCGTTGATACTCTGGTGAGCTCTTAGGAGGCTGCTCATTTTCATGCGGTCGATCGGTTGATAGTCTAAGACCTGTGTCCAGTGACTAGTGAACTGGTCGTATATGCATCGTATCGACAAGGACAAAAGGGACTGAAGTCAAGATATATCTCGCTTGATAATATTGGCAAACTGTTTCACGACTTCCCGAAACATCCCCAAACGAAGTTCGTGAGCTGAAGGACAAGATCTTTCCTTCTCACATGCGAACTCTTCGATGTACAGCAACTTCTTCAACTTACGCATAAACGACACGAACATATTGTCCCATACTTGCTTCTACCCGTCGGCAGCAAATGCCTCGACAAGGTTGCAGGTCATGATTTCTCTACTCTCTGAGGTTCGTGATTGCAAGAATAATTGTAACCTTCTTGTCACCGAGGAATTTGTGAGAGAGTCGGTAAATGCTCTGAAGCGTAGCAGAGACTCTGCTGGTGCGAATGTTGGACAAGGGCAGATCAATGCTTCGCTGTGTATCCAAGCTCTCGACGAGCCTGTACATGGTTTCGACAGACTCGAGGCACCTAGTTAGAACGTAGTTCACATTTGAAAATGATCTGGGAAACGAACATTCTCATCCGAAGTTCTGCGTAGAGTGAAGAAAGGACTCAATTCGTCCATCCTGCCAGTAGTGACTGCTGGGATGTGAATACAATATATCGAAAATTCCAGAGTCCTTCGGTCGCACTCGAGAGTACACGATCAGATGACACCTCGCGAGAGGTGTTTACATTGTGAGGCACGTCCATATCCGAGTCATATGGTAAAGAAGCCAAGATCGACAGAGAACGAGAGGTTCGTGGTTAGCTCGCTTGTCATCGGAAAATTTAATCGAGAGGATGTGGTAGACTCACGCTATCGCGGAGAAACAGCACGCCTGAATACTTCTAAGTTATGGGTCATTGGTCCCCCCTCAAATCAGATGGTGACAGCACCTTGGGTAGCTCGTAGAGGTAGGATACAAACTAAGGCGTTGTTAGTTCAATATTGAATTTTCGCCAAGTCCAATATCGCTGTGTGTAGGACCGGACGCAGGTATAATACGATAGATTTGAGAGATAGTGAGCGGTAGTGAGGCAATGGGCGGTGGTGATCTCAAGCTCTGGTACTGCAGGCTAGGGTTTGAGATGCTGGCAGTGACAGCAATTGGCAAGACGACATTCGATGGGAGCACCCGGGCCAGCTGGGAGCCTGAAGAAGATCATTACCTTGCGGAGCAAGGTCTATGAATGCGGCGTGACCTGTGGTGGTAAACATCACAAAATATACACGTGATCATCGCGAACCGTCTGACACCAGACACACCAAAATGAATTAGACTGCGTTATTGCTGATTCTGCACAGAATTACATTATGGCGAATGAGATAATGGTACAAAGTATCTTCAAGAACGATCCTCCCGAACAATAATTACACTACTTTTTTAAAATCCATCCGGCAAACTCATTTCATCACTGGCCCTCACACATATGCCATGCTATGAACGGCCCGAGGTTCGATAACAGCGCGAACAATTAACCTCGAGGTTGTTTCAACCACGCTGATGCAAAAGCACACAGCATATGCGAGGATGGTATGTGCTCCAATATCCAGAGCATACGAGAGCGCGAATGCGTCCAAATTGATTTATACCTGAAACCTGTCCAAGATATGAAAAAATGCATAGTGACAAAGACTACTCGCCTGAATATGAACCACGACTCCAATTGATCGTCTGACCTGCGATTCTACAAATGTAGCTGCTTGCCATCATTTCTGTATGAAAGTCAACAGCCTGGCGCATTCCGCAATTAGATATGAGCAAATGACTAACTCAGATTATCTCATCACAACAGGTGTCATGGACTTCATTCACAGCGGACAATACGACGAACGAACGACATAACCATTATCAAAAATGCGGCAAAAGAGAACACAGAAAGTCCGTAAGTTAATTGTCAGACAAACAGCCCAAGCACCAATTTCTTAACTGACCACTCGAGGAATTTTGAGAGCAGCATCTCTCAACCGTTCTGCTAACAGAAGTGTATCTGCATACACCACTGTAGTATCTAAGTCGCGTGCCATTTTCTGAGCGATTCCTCAGTAATAAATTAGGGTAAAAGACGCCAACATATAACTAACTGACGTACGATTAAACTCTGCTGGATCTGCACATAACACTTGATCTGCAAGGATGGTAGGAGAGTCTGTATAAATCATTCGAGACCCGCTAGACTCAAAGGCTTCTTGGACAGCGGTCGCAGTCTGAATGAAGATATGGGGAGTGCCGCGAGATTGGTGTTCGACTGATGAGACACTCATCAACGATAAATAATGCACATAACGAATTAAACATACTAAATATAAAAGCACATTCGGCGTTGGAAGTCTTCAGCAATTCGAACACGCTAAGCTGCATCGTAGACCCCTTCGACACCCTTTGGAAGATCTTCGTATAGAAGACGAAAGAATGCGAGAACTGGTAGAAGATACCGAGAGACGTTTTAATGAAGGTGAATATGGACCCATATGAAAGTTTACAGCCTTTTGTATCATGCTCAGAATGTTGTGCGTCTGAATGGCGAGTAATCAAAGATATTTGGCCCTGTTGATATTGTGGGCAAGTCAAATTAAGCGAAAGAGCTCCGCAAGGTAAAAAGTCGGCAACGCCGACCCCTAGTAGTAAACGGCTGGAAGGGTCTGTTATATACACTCATCTATGATCGATGTCAACTCTCAAATTGTTCCTGCTGAGTTTGATGCAGAAGCTTGAACGTTTTGAACATTCTACCCGCGCCCGTCTCATGTGTGACAATTAACACGTGACGTCACGCGACTGCTGTGATGCAATTTGGCTTTCAACTCGACGTTCCTGCGCTTTACATCAATTTGACTCTCAACTCTTTCCAACGATGTCTCTCTGGGTAGACAAAGTGAGAAGTTTGTTTCTTTAGGTGGCTAACAATTCTTATATTCGCGTAGTTTAGACCAAAGACTTTGGACGACCTTCACTACCACCAGAGTTTGTCCACTCGATTGAAATCTCTGGTACGTCAATCTTGGATGTTCTAGGGTCATACGTCTAATATGGTGTCATACATACAGGCTGCGTCAGCTGACTTTCCACACATGCTCTTCTACGGGCCTTCTGGAGCTGGAAAGAAGACACGCATCAGCTGTACTTTAAGGCAGTTATTTGGGAGTGGTGTTGAGAAGGTGAGAAGACTATATGATTTGCTTTGGATGGTGCTGATGAACACGAATCGACAGCTCAAAATTGATCAACGAGTGTTTATTTCACCTTCGAAACGCAAGCTGGAAATAAATATTGTTCAAAGCAATTTTCACATCGAGATCACTCCTAGGTTCGCTATTCGGCATTTTATACTCTTCTATTTCGTCTAAAGCACTTTGAAGCGAAGCTGGAAATTATGACAGAGTTGTCATTCAGGATTTGTTAAAGGAAATTGCACAGACACAGCAGGTAGACTTGAACGCGAAGCATAGATTCAAAGGTGCCATCCAACGTTGCGTCATAACCAGATGTCAACCTGACCTTTTTGTTAGTCGTTGTGATTAATGAGGCGGACTCTCTTTCCCGTGATGCCCAAGCAGCGTTGCGTCGAACGATGGAGAAATACATGTCAAACATGCGAATAATACTCTGTGCCAACAGCACCAGCAAACTAATAGCACCCATCAAAAGTCGTTGTCTACTTATGCGAGTCGCTGCACCGAACCCAAAAGAGGTGAGTAGACATCAAGTAACTCTATCTAAACTTGGTGGTGAACGCCTCTAGATGCAAATTGTCTTGGAACATGTAGCAAAGAAGCTGAAGTTCGACTTACCTGAAGAGGCATCACAACAGATCGCCGAAGACTCTGGTGGCAACATGCGGAAAGCATTACTCGTTTTCGAAGCCTTGAAAATGCAATCGTAAGTTCGACTTGGTATCGCTATCGCCGCGACTCATTACGTGCAGGCCAGATCTTTCAGGTTCATTGAAAATAGCCAAACCAGACTGGGAAACGTACTGCCACAAGGTCGCTGATCTCATCGTCCAAGAACAGTCACCAGCGCGCGTTTTGGAAGTCCGTGCAAAACTCTATGAGCTTCTTACCCACTGTATTCCCCCAACGATCATATTGAAGGTGAACCGTTCTGTACGGTATACTGAACAAGGCCACTGATAGTGTCCAGACCATTGCAGAGCAGGTGGTGGAGAGAGTGGATGAAGCTATAAAAGCCGATGTCATGCATTGGGCTGCATTTTATGTATGTGGATGTTGGGCTGAACCTTCCGATTTCTCACATGTGTGCAGGAGACTCGGATGCGGCTCGGCAACAAAAAGATTTATCACCTAGAGGCTTGGGTAGTAAAGGTCATGAGTCTATACAAGGTAGAGAGATTTCCACTATCTCTGGCGAATGCTGACCTCAATCACCGCTAGCACTTTATGTATAACTTCGATATGGCGGACTATGAGTAGATGTCATTACAATATTGTATCGCTAGTTTTTTCTGTAATATCAGGAGGTCATCCATCAGGTTGAGCACAGCCACTACTGCAAATAACTGTCAGTGAAGGATGTCACCGACCATAATCATTCACTACTGTATCAGCATCTAAGCCGCGCTTTTAGCCATGGTCAGCTCTCATAGCATCTTTCTGCGAACCCAACTGATCGTTCATTTGGACATCCAAAAGCTTATCTTCTCCGTCTTCAAGACATTGACAGATCAACGAGTAACCGTCGAGCTGAAGAATGATCTCTCGATTACAGGAGTCTTGAAATCAGTAGACCAGTCAGTATCGTGGTTACCATCTCAGCACAGATCCAATATCACTGATGCCATGCATTCCCATTCTTTGCCCAGATTTCTCAACATCCGTCTAGACTCTATCAATGTACTGGACGAGGCAAGACATCCACACATGGTGCTTAATGTACGCTTTTCTATCCGGTTTACACATTCATCTCCGTTTCCAGATGGCGGTGAAAAATTGCTTTATCCGTGGTTCTGTTGTGAGGTATGTGCAGCTCCCTGCAGAACACGTCGATACTCAGTTGCTGGAGGACGCGACTCGCCGAGGTACGAAGTTCTCATGCAATGAATCCTTTCAATGCTCACCGGTGATGCTACAGAGGTCGCTGCTCAAGGAAAACGGTGATGGATGTACAATATCCCTAGTCTACTGGAGGCGCAGCTGTCATTCAACAGGAACTTTACATCAGACACATTATTGGATGATCGCCGGGTATTGAATCTCTTTCTACATACGTGTACATTATCCGACCTGATATTACAACACTTCTTGTGCTCGAACATAAGCCAAAGTCTGCCAATTTCGCAGTTGACCGGGTTCCAGCATGATGGCTTTTTGTGCGCTTCTTTGAGACTGTATGGGTTGTGCGAGAGCTGATAATGCGAGGGTAGTCTTTTCCTCTGCAATGTCTTGGTTCTGTGCCACCGATGCTAGGATGGCCGATGCAGCGTCTCTCTCTCCCTGCTTGAGCAACAAAGATGCAACTTCTCGCCTCATCTGGAGGTTCGAAGGCTCAACATGGAGGGCTTTTTGGGCAATTTTAGTTGCTCTGTCGTAGTCACCCTGCCAAAAAAAATATCAGAATCATACACTGAACGATTCAAGAGTTGAATTCGTACCAGCCCAAGATAATGTTGCACGAGGAGATACGTCACGTCTCTTCGAGGATCGAGCTCATGTCTCTGTTCGACGGGGAGTGACAGAATTTCCGAAAGTGCGGCATCAACCAGCCCATCGTCTTCAGTCAGTATCCCCATTCCAGCCAGAGTGTTGATCGCCATCAAATTTTCTGGATCGGAGGTGATGCTAAAACGATAGATTAGTAGACTGGAAATCATCGACATTGCGTTCTGACCAATCAAGTAACAAGCCCTTCGCAGACTCCCGGAACTCAGGTGTCCTAATTGCCCACATTGTCTGTGCCAGCAGAACAGTAACCTGGCCTCGAAGAACGCGATCGTCAGCGGCGCTTTCCAAAGCAGTTTGGAATGCCGTCATAGCGGCTTGGAAATCATCCATCTTGAAAGACGCTAGCCCAGACCCGCATTGAGCTTGCACACGTAGAATCTGTGACTCCCGCTCTGCATCTTCGGGAAGTAGACCTAGAGCGCTCTCGAAAGATGCCAACGATCCTTCATAGTCCTGCAATCCGAGACGAAGCCGTGCGATGTTAGTGTGCGCGATGACAAACTGCCGCTCCACTATGGGATCCTCTTTCTCCTCGTATGCTGCTTCTAGGAGAGCAATTGCACGATTTATGTATTCTACGCCCTGTTCAAGTTTTCCAAGGTGTTCGCAAATCAGGCCGAAGACATGGAGGCCGCAGGCGTCAGCCGGGCAGCGCTGGGAATATCGTCCGAGCACGAAGAAAGCAGGTAAAAGGCGATCTGTAGTGGGTGCACCGACTGAATTCGAATCATTTACGGCAGTAAGAACGCGCAAGGCAAATTGCAGGTCTGCCATAGGCTTGAACCATGTGTCAGTTGCATATATAAACGTAAGGAGGGCATGGATTTACCACGTCTGCTGTCATGCTCACTGCATGCTCAAGTAATATACGAGCATCTATTTCGTGGCCGTTTGCTGCTGCAATCAATGCTTGGCCAATCCAAGCCAGGGTATGATCCGGATCGAGCGTTTGTGCCTTTGTAAATGCTTGAGCGGCCAAGTCGATATCGTTATGATATAAGTATAGGAGACCAGTCTTGGTCCACGCCACCACGTTCTAGAAAGATTGAGTTGAGATTGTAACAGGTAGGTGTCCTACCAACCTTGTTGTCAACTTCGATCGCCTTGATATATGCATGCTGCGACAGCTTTGGCTTCTGGGAAAAGTGGAGATCACCCAATGCGACCCAGAACCTGACATTTCCAGGCTCCTTTTGCAGGGCTTGAATCAAAAACGAGTTTGCTGCCTCCAAGGCTTGTCGTGTGGTACCAGAGGGTTGTTTCAAAATCCACTCGTGCAGAGCTACAGCAAGGTCGTACAATGAACTTGGGAGAGCGGCTTCGTCAGGAGAGCCCACTGTGATGCGATAATCGTAGGCAGCGACAGCAGCTTCGAGTACGTTGAGTCCAGTGACAGGGTCGTCTGGAGAGAGAGCTGTGAACTTGAATAGGCCAGCCAGCCGAGCACTACTTTGGCCCTGTATGAGTTCGGAGACTACAGTCACGGCTGCACGGACGTTATTTTCATCCGCGAAGACAGTGATTACCGACAACTCAAACAAGGCATCAGCGGCGATTTTCCAGGCGACTCCACGATATCCCGGGCTTTCCCGGATGGCGACCAACATAACATCGATACAGGAGATAAAAGACTGCTCAGCTCGAGCAACGAAACCGGTAAGCCGCTCATGTCGGGCTAGGTCGAGGTAGGTCTGCGCAACAGATAAGAGGATACCGGCTTCAGTGGGACGAACGTCCAGTATAGACTGGAAAGAGGCAAGAGCCTCTGCAAGCCTTCCCGTTTGTCGTTGGACTTCCCCTATGAAGTATGTACACATCCAATCGTCCGGTTGAAGCTCGTGAGCTCGACCAAGCGCCCTAAGGGCAGCGACATGACGACCAGCTTTACTGTAGGCTTCACCAAGTCTCAGCCATGAGAGTTGGTCATCGACGTTCGCTCGGAGTGCCATCTGAAAAGCCTTAATGGATTCCGCATAGTTCCTCTTCACCTGTGCCCAATAAAGTTAGGTTGAAAATAAACGTTATAAGTACAATCCTTTACCAGCTCCACAACACCAAGAGCCTTCCATGCCCACGCGTTTGTCGGAAGATACTTTCCCGAAGTTGCACCATCTCCTTCCATACCCGCGCCCATCCCGCCTTCACCGTCTATAGTACGCCGAGCCACCACCTCGACCAGATCCCATTCACGCTCGTCAGCGAAGCCCTCCGCAAGGCGCCTTGCGGCCTCTGCTTCACGGGCGTCAAGTTCAAATGCTTTCTGGAAACATTTTGAAGCTCGCGTAGGGTCGGGCGGTGAGGCGTATTCTGAGTAATATACACCTAGCGAAGTGTATGCCGGCGCATACTCGCGATTATGTTTGAGCGATGTGATGAAGTATTTGAAAGCTTCCTCACGGGACTCTCCTGCAACAAGGATCAGTAAGATGAGGCAAAAGGCGTGGGTCGTCATACCTCCTAGATCCCAGTAGCATCTCCCAATCCGCCATAGGCATCGAGCTTTATCAATGTCACGATCCTCGATATCCTTCAAGGTCTCAAAGACCTCTTTCAGAGCATCTACGCCAGCATCCGCATGCATCCGACTAAGGCACCACGCACTCTCCTCTTTTGCTTCCACGCCTTTGTCCACATCATCAGGGAGCTGCTTCGCCGCTTGCGCAAATAGCACCTCCGCCTCCTCCCACTTTTCACTATACTGAAAAACATACCCCTTCCCTATCAATCCGTCCACATTGGTGGGATCTTGCTTTAGGACGTCGTTTAAGAAATAAAGAGCGCGAGGGTGGTGCTTGGGAGGAAATAGGTGGACGAAGGATGTGGCCAGGATAATGTGAAAGGCCTTGCGCACTCTAAATGGACGGTAAGTTGTCATTGCAGTTTCAAGGTTCTAACGATTTCCACCTACTCTCGGAGTTCACGGGCTGTGTTTGACTCATACCTGCGTATCAATTCCAGTCCGCTTTCAGCAACTTTGATGGCATCTGTGTATTCGAGTTCTTGTAAATGGACTCGAGCTGCGATCATGTTCGCTAGCAATGAGTCCGGGAGTGCTGAAAAGGCGTCCTGAAGAGAGATGTCAAAGATATTTTCTGAGGCGTGATTCGTGAACTTGCAAGAATAATGCCATAGGGGTCGCTATCCACCGCAAAGGTCAGTTCTTCTGTTAATCCTTCGTCATCATGGGCAGCCTTGCTGTATGCAAGGTATCCTGTCAACATCCGCGCTAATGTACTTGTTGGGAAGAGTTCTATGAACTGCTTGAGATACGCAAGACCAAGACCCTCTAGAGTGTCCAATTCAGTAATCATAGTCAAATTTATGGCGCGCCCAGTACCAACTGTATCCGAATCTCTTCCTTCAAACCACATGCACCAAGCAAACTCATCCGGAATGCCAATCGTCACGATACCGTGAACCATCTCATCCAGCTGCAGGCCAAGTTGACGTTTCTCTGGGTCAGTAGAGGGGAGTGCCAGGAACAATTGTTGTTTATATCGAATGAGTTTAGATTCTGTTGCGCGTCGCAGTTCGTCAGAGGTATTTAGGTGATTAAGAATATCATTGTATAATGTTGGAAGCTGCAACGCGAAGATTAACTTGAAAACTGAAGTATTCGAAAGTTTACCCCACCTTTGATGAGTGCCAAACCTCCACGCCAATATCTCTCCTGAGTTGCTCAGGCTTAGGACCTCCAAGGCGGGTGCGTCGCTTGTCAAACTCAGATTTGATGAACATCTCTTCTTCTCTTTCTGTTAGCGATATAAGCTCCTCGTAGACAGCGAGTGAGTTGTAGATTGCCGATTGAGTAGGAAAAATTGTGGTCGAGGTGGGGTTTGTAGCATCGGGTGGAGGAAGCGATGAAAGAACAGGGTACAAAGAAGAGTCTGGTAGGTAAAGGAACAATGCTTGAATGACCTGGACACGTTGAGCAAGATGGCTTCAAGATGGGAAAATTCATACTTCACCGCGTGTCCCATGTTGCCGGCGAATATCCATGAATTTTTGAAGGGTCTCGGCACATTTCGTGGCGTCGTCACTATTCGATTTTCAATCATCAGCTTCATCAAATATGCATCACAATGAAAACATAATCACTTTTTCGCGAATATCTGCATTATGTGTTCCAGAGTATCCGCCAAATCGTTCCACCTGTGAGTTTGCTCGTAAAGCTTTGCGATACCCTATGCATTGCATCAGGTTAGAATCGCTTATTTGAGGTCGGCAACATACTGTACCTGCCATGCAAGTACTTGATCATCCTTAAGCTTTATGGCCTTTCGATAAACCTGACAAAAAAAATCAGCTCATATGCGGCCTACAACGATCGTCAGGTTTACTTGCTCGCTTTTCTCGTGCTGGCCGAGTTCTAAGAGAGCAAGACCAAGAAACACATGGCTGCCCGGTGCAAGACAGTCGATATGAGACTCGCAACACATTCTTTCAGATTGGGAACGCACGCGGTATAGTTATCAGGCTCGTAGTCAAGAACCTGTGCGGCTGCTTCGCGTGCTTGTTCGTACTTTTTCTTGCCAATAGCATCTCTCGCTGCCTTCAACTTGGACTTCGTGAATGATGACATGATCTGCAGTTGCCGGGCAAGATCTCGACTGGCGCTCGAAAGATGCTCTAGATGTACAAACCGCCCTGACCTATGTGAGGACAGTAATGTGTTCAAGCTTACGTGGAAATGAAGTGTCGTGCAGAATGTCTTCACAAGTGTTATACCCAATTGATCTACTGCTTGGAACTCCTGGAAGTCTCAAACGCTGGCTTACTCAGCGTCGAGTCAGCGAGGGTTTGCAAGCACAACGATAACGATACACATTAATTACAGTGAGTACCAGTGTGAGTATCGAACCCCACGTATATATGATAAGTACATATATTAGTAAAATGACACAAATGATACGTATCGGTTAAACAAAGGGTAACGCGGAACGATCTTTGACAAGATGAAGCCTTGAATCAATTTTGTAACAGTGACGTACGCACAGCGCCCCGCCGGGGGACCCAAATCTCCAATAATACGCAACTAAGCTCGATTTTTTCATGAAGTTGGGGCGGGACTGGAACTGCGAGGCGTTTCGGTACCTGCTTGATACGAGTCATGAATGAGACTGCGGATGGCTTGCTCTGATCGATGTCGACGTGCACGCACAGCGGATGATGCATGTGGGTCGTTGGGGAGCGAAGTGATGCAAGCATGTGCGGAAAACCGCATCCCAAGACTTTCCAGGTTATCCTTGTTCTTCACCCACCACCTATCCATGTCCGTAGGGTAATCTTCCAAAGAGGTGACAACAGCAGCGACTGGTACGCCGCCTGCCGCAGTGGATGTGGAGCTAACAATGTCAGTGAAAAATTTATAATCCCTGATCAGTGCTCTCTGAGCCCTCGATCCCCTCATGCAATATAGAAGAAGGTAGACTCCGTCATCTCTGTACAGTTTCTTGTAAGATTTTTTCAGGCGCCATTTTGCAAAAAGGGTCCGGAAAAAACCCATCGATCCGAGTGAGGAAACTTCCCAAAGTTTGAATCGGCAATCTCCAAGACTGACTTCGTGGGAGGTATGCTGCAGTGTGCAGGTTGCTCCATCTGGCGACGTCTGTGCAACGTCGCGTCCCATAATCAAGTTGATAATGGCACTTTTCCCAACTCCAGTCTCGCCGAAAAGTAACACATTCAAAGGACCTGCAAGTGACTTGACCGCGTGGAAGGATCAGTACACATGAAAACAATACACTACTAGACTCTCACCAGCGACGAGACCGTAGATAAGATGTGACGTACTACAGGATTAGAGGGAACGGCGTTATGTGACGGAACAAGGGTTTGCAAGGAAGGCTGAGACGACAGTGCGGTCGAAATCCCAGCCTGGTTGATAAACATTTAAGCCGAATTACTTCAACCACAAGCGGGAAAGTTCATACCTGCTCGGCGACCAAGTATGTACTTTGATCGCTTTGCTGTACCCCGCCAACAAAGACCTGTCAGAGTCAGAAACTCTGCTCCTACGTGGCGAGACAGGTCATGAGCTTACATCCTGATTCAAAGCCTCTAGTTCCCCCTTTACGAAGTTCATAGCCGTGAGGGCACACGGTCGAGCAAATGGATCAATTGACCAACACTGCTCGATATGATTCCAGCGGGCGTCTGTGACGTCAGCAGTCGTCTCGGATACCCCAGGACGCGGGATATCCTCTCCTTTTTGAATTTTTTGCATGACTTTGTAGTCGTCAATGTCATGCCAAGGAGCAATCAGAGTCAACAACTGGGATGAATGATACATCAAATATAGATTTTGTGGACTTGAAACGCTTACACTTACATGGAACATGACACGACCAAAGGAATACATGTCGTTCTGGGTGGTCGGTTTGATATTGGAAGTGGGATCATGTGGCCTGAGCAACTCAGGCGCAGCCCACCTGATTGCACCAGCCCGAACGGATGATCCTTCAATTCGGCGTTCTTTTAAATGTTCACAGAGAACACTTGACAAACCGAAGTCCGTTAGGCAAGCCTTGTAATCTCCGTCCTTGAGATCTACCAAAACGTTGGACTGCATTGTTTAGTCAGTGCAATTAAATGTGAAGAGGGTGGACTCACGCTCGTGATGTCACCGTGAACGACAGGAAAAGAGTGAACTAACGGCAAATTATCAGCTGAAACAAGACGACCGTGAAGGGAATACAAACGATAGTAGAGCCCAGATGCTATGCCGTGAAGCTAGTGAATGAGGATAATTTAGTTTAGGTACATTGCAGCTAAACGGGTTCAAGTTACCAGATTCAATTTAGACTTAATAGTTAATGTGGCACCCTGTTCTGTGATCAAACGGAACAGCGTGCCGTCCGGAAACCATCGGGAGACGAGGGCTATGGTTGGCCCAAAATCCTCTGTCGTTCCATAAAGCGTGACGATATTGTCGTGGATGAGGTGTGACCATATTGCAGTTTCTCGTCGAAACCTCTAGCAAATCCACATGAAATAGTGTCAAGAACAGAAAAATATAGACCCTTACTCTCAAGTCCTGCTTTGAGATGCAATCCGTCGGATGCCTGAAGGTTTTTACTGCGACCTGCAGTGCGATAATGAACAGGCTGATCAACAAGTTATGCCGGTGCTGCACACTGGCCAGACCTTGACAGGGCCCGACGGCCGTCTCCATTCACATCTGTAAACATTTCCGAATCCACCACTGGCGACGTAGTCGTTTATCGTACCGAAGATCTGACCTGTCAGATCTTCTGCCAGTGCCGTTGTGGGACTAAAGATGAGGGAACTGAATCAATGAAGACTTGTTTCAGTATGAGCACCCTACAGAGGTGAAGATTCCGAGGTAGATGCCTAAGTAAAATACGTCAGGATCTGCCACTGATTAGGACACCAGTGAAAAAACCTGTAAGTTTTTATCCTGAGATTGGGTGCACTTGGGGACATCTGTGTTCCCCGCGAGCTGCCCTGCGTCCTGTTGATTCGGGGTGCAGTGATCGTCATAGACTGTGTCGGAACATGCTGCCGTGGTCACTGTTCTTCCCAAAGAGGATCTTCTTTGGGAGCCTGAGAATGTGACAGTATTGACAATGGCTGTCAAAGTGCGTTGACCTTTTCCACTCTGCACGGCCTTGGATTTCGAGTGCGTACCATTGTCGGAACGCGGCGGCTGAGATGGGTTGGACATTTGGAGCGTTGTCCGTCACAGTCGAGTGGCGAGTCTAAATCTGAGTCATGAGAGTCAAAAGAGCGCTAACTTATGTTAAGGTGGTCTGAAGTACTTGAAGCTTAGTTTAAGTTCCAAGCTGTAGCGTGGGGTCACCGTGTATGCCCATTGCCCATTGCCATGCCAACGATATTATTGGCATCACTAATTATGATAGTGCCTATAATATAATATTAATATTGCAAACTGGCCACGAGTCACGACAAACTTTATCTGATAATGGGCGGCGGCCTATATACGCGTACTAGCTCCAGTGATACCAGCCCGGGCATTTTTGGTGTCAAATGGCGAGAGCAGTGGTCGCGAACAATGTCGATCAAACGAACACTAAATAGCACTGACCGTTAGGATATACGTAGAAGTTGAACTATAGCCTCTAAGATTGTACTACTACTTGTTTGGCTAATGGCAAACAAAGTAAAGTGACAACTATTATGTAGTATTATAAGTAGCTATGTTATGTAGAAATGAAGAGTCGTGCAGAATGTCTTCACAAGTGTTATGCCCATTTGATCTACTGCTTGGAGGTGTACGTAGTCGGACTAGTCAGGCATGCCATCTGAAATTCAAATCTGTAACATTGACAGATCGCAAGACCTACGGTTAGTACTACGATACATAGCCTTTCTGATCAAGCTTCAAATTTTCGGGTTCGCCAACACAATGAATATGTTCTTTGTTAACGACTGGGCTTGTCAGTCGAGGATGATGGTGAACCCAAGTCACGGGGTTCGCGAGAACAACCATAACGTCGATACAATTACGTTAGTACCAGTGAGTATCGAACTCTACACATACATGATAAGTACTACCAGTACAGTGCGGCATAAAGGGTATATACCAATTATACAGAGGATAATGCAGAACGGTCATTGACAGGACGAAGTGAGTCGATTTTGTAACAGTGACGTACGCACAGCGACCCGTCGGGGAACCCAAATATCCGAAGGAGGTAATACACAACTAAGCTCGAATTTTTTCATCGAGTCAACGCTGGACTGGAACTACGAGGTGTTTCTGTACCTGCTTCGTAGGACCCATAAATAAGACGGCGAATGGCTTGTTCAGATCGCTGTCGACGTGCGCGCATTATGGGTGAGGATTCTGGATCGTCAGGGAGAGAAGTGATACAAGCGTGTGTGGAGAACCGCATTCCGAGGCGTTCCAGATTGTCCTTATTATTCGTCCACCAATTATCCATGTTCCTGGGATAATCTTCCAAGGAGGTAAGCACAGCGGCGACTGGTACGCGGCCTGGCCCGGCGGTAGAGCCCACGATGTCAGTGAAAATTTATAGTCCCTGAGCAGTGCTTTCTGAGCCCTAGATCCCCTCATACAATACAGGAGAAGGTAGACTCCGTCATCTTTGTACAGTCGTTTGTATTGCTTTTTCAGGCTCCATTTTTTGAAAAAGGTCTTGAAGAAACCCATCGATTCGATCGACGAAACTTCCCAAAGTTTGAAAGTGTGGGGTCCAAGATCGATTTTGTGGCAGGTATGTGTGAGTGTGCAGGTTGCTCCATCTGGCGATGTCTGTGCAACATCTCCTCCCATGATCAAGTTGATAACGGAACTTTTTCCAACTCCAGTCTCCCCGAAAAGCAACACATTCAAAGGACCCGAAAATGACTTGAAACGTGGAAGGATTAGTATACACGAACCAATGAACCAGTAGAAGCTCACCAGCGTCGAGGCCGTAGAGAAGAGATGATGTGTGAAAGGAGAGGAGGGAGTAGCTTGGCTTGGTGACAGAACGAGGGTTTGCGAGGAGGACTGAAACATCACTGTTGTCATAATCTTAGTTTGTGCAGTTGATCAGCATTGAATCACTCCAACCACAGACTGACAAACTCACCTGGGATGGAGCCCCGCGACTAGGAGGAATAGATGCAATTATCCGCTCCGCGTCCGATGAACTTTGATGATACTCCTGTACCCCGCCATCAAAGACATTCTGTCAGAGTCAAAAACTCTACTCCCGCGTGACGAGTCCAGTCATGAGCTTACATCTTGTTTCAAAGCCTCTAGTTCCCCCTTTACGAAGTTCATAGCCGTGAAGGCACATGGACGACCAGGTGGATCAATTGACCAACACTGCTCGATATGATTCCAGCGGGCGTCTGTGACGTCAGACGTCGCATCGGATATCGCAGGACGCAGGATTTCCTCTCCGCTAAGAATTTTTTGAAAGACTTTGATCTCATCGATACCATGCCAAGGAATGACTAGAGTCAACAACTGGAAATAAATGATCATAATGAACACAGGTTTTGTGGACTTGAAGCGCTTAAACTTACATGATACATGACACGACCAAAAGAGTACATGTCGTTCTGCGTGGTCGGTTTGATATCGGATAGGGGATCATGTGGCCTGAGCAACTCAGGCGCAGCCCACCTGATTGCACCGGGCCGAATAGATGATCCTTCAACCGGGTGGTCGTTTAAGCATCCGCAAAGGACATTTGACAAACCGAAGTCCGTTAGGCAAGCCTTGTAATCTCCGTCCTTGAGATCTACCAAAACGTTGGACTGCATTGTTTAGTAAGTGCAATTAAATGTAGAGGATGAACTTACGCTTGTAATGTCACCGTGAACAACGGTAAAAGAGTGAGAGTGAACTAACGGCAAATTTATCAGTTGAAACAAGACGACCGCGAAGAAAATACAGACGATAGTAGAGCCCAGATGCTATGCCGTGAAGCTAGTGAATAAGGATAATTCAGTTTAGGTACATTGCAGCTTATCGGGTTCAAGTTACCAGCTTCAATTTGGACTCAATGGTTAATGTAGCACCCTGTTCTGTGATTAGACGGAACAGTGTGCCGTCCGGAAACCACTGGGAGACAAGGGCTGTAGTTGGCCCAAAATCTTCTGTTGTTCCGTAAAGCGTAACGATATTGTCGTGGATGAGGTGTGCCCATATTGCAGTTTCTCGTCGAAACCTCTAGCGAATCCACATAAAATAGTGCCCAGAACAGAAAACATAGACCCTTACTCTCAAGCCCTGCTCTGAGGTGCAATCCATCTGATGCCGGAAGGTTTTTACTGCGACCTGCAGTGCGATAATGAACAGGCTGATCAGCAAGTTACGCCGGCACTGCCTACGGGCCAGACCTTGACATGGCCCGACGGTCGTCTCCATTCACATCTGTAAACATTTCCGAATGCACCACATGTGACGTAATCGTTTATCGTACCGAAGATCTGACCTGTCAGATCTTCTGCCAATGCCAGTGGCATTATGGGACTAAAGGTGAGGGAACTAAATCAATGAAGACTTGTTTCGGTATGAGCACCCTACAGAGGTGAAGATTCCGAGGTAGATGCCTAAGTAAAATATATCAGGATCTGCCACCGATCAGGATACTAGTGGACTGTCAAACCTGTGAGTCTTCATCTCGAGACTGGGTGATGGACTCGGGGACTTTTGTATTCCCCGCGAGCTCCCCTGCGCCCTGTTGATTCGAAGAGCAGTGGTCGCCATGCACAGTGTCAGAACGCGCTGCTGCAATCACTGTTTCCCTCAAGGTGGATCTTCTTTGGGAACCTAAGAGTGTGGTACTATTGCCAGTGGCTGTCCGAGTGCGTTGCCCCCTTCCATTTTGTACGGCCTTAGATTTCGAGCGCGTGGCATTGTCGAAATGCGACGGCTGAGATGAGTTGGACATTTGGAGTGTTTTTCGTTAGGTGGTGAGTCTAAATCATGAGAGTCAAAGGGCGCTAATGTATGTCACGGCAGCCTGATGCACTTGATGTCATCAGTGCATGCCCACTGCCCAATGATATTATTGGTATCAATAGTAGCGCCTATAATATTGCAACTCCTCTAGAAAGTCACTGACATGAGTCACGATGAGCTTTATCTGATATATGCGCATAGCGCTAGTGATAGCCCAGGCATTTTTGACGTCAAATGGCAAGAGCAGTGGTCGCGAGCAAGTGAACATTGGAGTACTGACCGTTAGGACACATGCGGAGGAACTACAGCTTCTACTAAGATGCTGTAATAATTCAAGCCGAACAACGAGAGAGAACCGGCACCTGTTTGGCAAACAAAGCAAAGTGACAACAACTATTAGTAGCTAGGCGGTATCGTATCACCGGAGTCTCACGTGCTCAGCACTTGAGTATTGTTGCTACGCTAGCTGAGCAAGGGCTTGACTTTCTATAACTCAGCTGGCTGCTCCGGGTTCACGATTCTTTCGTTTGTTTTTTGTCTTTCATTTCTAACCGCTCTTTATTATCTCCAGATACCAAAGTGCCGTTCTGGGTGTAAAAGTCAGTCTTTTTTTCCGGAGAGAAAGCCATGGCGGCTAGGTTCGCACCACAGCCTACGTTTGCATCTGCTGATGTCCCAGTCCCTACAAACCGTCCACCTCAGCCCACGGGCACCACTATACGCCGTGCAAAAACCCTCACTCGCCCGGAGCGAAGTGTCGCACCAGTACCTCTCATTAATCCCCAATCATCCCTTGCCCTTTCCGCATCAGGTACTATTCAAGCTAGCTCCCAGAGCAGTGGTTTCGACCCATGGCGCTTGTTCGCTCAGATTGTTACTTTTTGGGCTCCATCCTTTTTGCTCAGCTCTCTCGGCGGTTTCAAAGACAAGGGCAAGATCCAGGCTTGGAGAGAGAAAATCGCCCTATGTTTCATCATCGCTATCCTATGTCTTATAGTCGGCTTCATAACCGTTGGCACTCAGAAGGTCTTGTGTCCCGAGACATCCAGCATGAACCCCTCGCGGTACTCAACTCTTGGCTCACTCCCCGGTACACTTAGCATACTCGGCATTTTATACAATGTCACCCAGGCCAAGAGTCCTGCAAGTGTGAACCTTGACCAGCTCACCCTTAAAGAGCCAGGACAGGACATCACTCCCTACTTCTATCGCACCGCCAGCCAATATTCCGCATGCCAAGGTCTCAAATTCCGTGTCGCCTTGGACCAACCGTGTATATCTACAACGGACTGTCCTCTTGGCGCAATCAACGCCTCTTCTACCTTTACGCAACTCGATATCCAGGAGACAACACTTCTACTTGGTTACGACTGGGTCCAGGTCGCTGCCCTCCCAAATTACTTCGTGATCGACGGTGCTGTGCTAAACATGAATCCCTATATGACACAACATCCCAGCCCAGTGACTTCCGACCCTGTAGATCTCGCAATCCGCACCATCCTGAACACACAGGCAAGCTCTAGTGGAAAGGATGGTACCCGCCTATTCTACAACCGTGCCGACATCCTTACAGCAGTCCCATGCCTCTATCAGCGATATTATGCAGGAAACATTGCCAAGATCACCCCCGGCTGTTTCGTTAGCTCGCTCTTCCTATATGTCGGACTCATCGTCATTCTTGGCCTCGTCCTCGTCCGCTTTGCAATGGCGTGTGTATTTAGTTGGTTCCTGTCTGCGAAGCTTGCAGGTCCCCCGGATAAGTCCCATCTCAACAGGTCGGCTATCAGTCCGGCAGTGATGCCTGGGGGTGCAAATATCTCAGTTGATAACCGCACGGGTACGGCACCATGGGCTGGCCCTCATGGGTCGAAGAAACTCGTCAAAGCAATCCCCACCCGCCTCCCTGCATCTTCTAGCACAACCCTATTACCAGAAGCCGCACCCGTCATGTCTCTCACACAAATCGGCACCGAGTTATTTGCCATCTGCCTCGTAACATGCTACTCTGAGGGTGAAGACTCTATACGCTCCACGCTGGATTCCATTTCGCGAACGACTTACTCTGATGCACGCAAGCTGCTTTTTGTGGTAGCCGATGGCATGATCACTGGCGCAGGAGAGAAGATGAGCACACCGGATATTTGTGTGGGATTATTAGATGCAGATCCTCGATTCGGCAACCCCATGCCTATGAGTTATCTTGCAATTGGAAGTGGAATGAAGCGGGAAAATAGGGCAATGGTCTATGCAGGACACTACAGTACGTCTTTATTTCTTTGCGCGAGGACCTGGTGCTAACAACATCGGTCAGCGGTTGCTGGTCGCCGCACACCCACTGTCATTGTTGTTAAATGCGGAACGGAGGCCGAGGCTACCAGTGACAAAAAACCTGGAAACCGCGGCAAGCGAGACAGCCAGCTTATTCTCATGAACTTTTTCTCTCGCGTCACATATAACGATCGGATGACCCCTCTTGATTTCGACTTATTCCGAAAGATCCATACCCTGATGGGTGTTACGCCCGACTTCTTTGAGGTCTGCTTGATGGTGTGTGTTCATCTACTACTTTACTTTCGTGTATTGATGTATCCACAGGTTGATGCCGATACCAAAGTATACCCTGATTCGCTGAAATACCTCGTCAACTGTATGCACCACGACCAAATGATCATGGGCGTCTGCGGGGAGACTCGCATAGCTAACAAACGTGATTCCTGGGTCACCGCCATCCAAGTCTTCGAATACTTCATCTCCCACCACTTAGCCAAAGCCTTCGAATCCGTCTTCGGTGGTGTTTCATGTTTGCCAGGATGTTTCTCCATGTTTCGACTGAAAGCGCGCAAAACGACAGGCGATGACTGGATCCCTCTTATCGTCAAGCCTGAGATTGTACGCGAATATAGTCAAAGCGAGGTCACTACACTGCACCAACAGAACCTTCTTCTACTCGGAGAAGATCGCTTCCTCACTACCATCCTCCTCCGTACATTCCCCAATCGTAAGATGATGTTCTTACCCCAAGCCAGATGCCGCACTGTTGTACCCGACACTTTCAAAATTCTCCTCTCCCAACGACGTCGATGGATTAACAGTACGATTCACAATCTGATGGAACTTGTTCTTGTGCGCAATCTATGCGGGACATTCTGTTTCAGCATGCAATTCGTGGTCTTCATGGATTTGGTCGGGACGGTCGTACTACCCATTGCCATTATGCTCACGTATGCGCTCATTGTGGGCATGATCATGCAACCCCCAACAACCTTCGAGGAAGCGATCCCACTCATGCTGCTTGTATCAGTGCTGGGTCTTCCCGCTGTGCTGATATTGATAACAACGAGGAAGGTTGTATATGTGTTTTGGATGATTATATACCTCCTAGCACTTCCGGTGTGGAATTTTATTCTTCCCGTGTATGCATTCTGGCATTTTGATGACTTCTCATGGGGAGAGACGAGGTGCGTTTATTCCGCTTTTTGCAAGTAGTTGCTGCAATGTTAACGGATACGTTACAGAAAAGTGGAAGGGGAGTCAAAGGGAGAAGGGCATGGTGCTGGCTCTGGCACCTTCGATGGTTCCTCGGTTCCTCTTCGCCGCTGGGAAGACTGGGAGCGCTCGCGCTTACGCAAACTCAAGCGTGAAGAACGGCGGCGGCGTGACTTTGATCGCATGCATCCAGCAGGGTACATTTCTTCCGAAAATGACCTGCTCAGCGCGCGCAATGATGCCCGTAGTCCATACGGCGACGGATCAGACACGCATTCTGTCGTATCGTCCGAGGATGATCATTATGGCCCGCAGATTGGTGGATACAACGAGAACAATACTCAGTTCCCTGCTCCGCCTGTTGGTCTGTTTCCGTCTGGACATGGGGCGGATGGGAATAAGGTGGTTGGTGGTGCAGAGTTGGAGGCGATGTTGGAGAGTGGTTTTGATGATGATGAGAGCCCGCAACGGACGCCTACGAGTGCGATGTACGCCGCACGGTATCAGCTTAGCGATAATCCAGTCACAACAGCGTCTCATGTCCTACGCATCATCCGACTCGGGCTCGCGAACACCCCCCATACATCATCAACCGTATGGCACACGAATAGAGGACCGGAGTCGCACCGGTGAGAAGTATGGCCCGTTGGGTCCGTTAGATCCAGGAGAGAAGTTTTAGATCGGGACATTTGTTTTTGTGAGGACGGTATCTCATTCGATGTTTCATACATACTGCACATGATGTTTGTGTGGGTTTTTACAAGTATCTCATATGTCTACCCACAGGGTGCCCGCTATATTTGGTACAAAACGGTAGATACTATAATCATTGAACATTTACTGTTAGCTGTCTTCTCTACGAATACGTGACAGGACTTGTCATGTACATGCCCAAAGTTGTGCTTCATTATTTTCCCACTCACAATCAGAATTGTTGCAAACGATCCATGGATTTACGCATAACGAAGTTCCAGTAGATAGTCCTTTTTCTTGTATATATCACTTCGCCCAAACAGAATGATCACGAAGATTATCTCGCAGCGCTTACCGGAACCATCTTCAGATAAAGAATCCCGCGCGGCGCGGGTGATCCCCTAGTCATCAGCGGAAAGGGGTCCAAGCCTGGCTCTAGGACAGCTAGGACAGTATCTCTTTGGAGGCCGCGTCATTCCCTTCTTGGTGAACTGTATGAACCGTGTTCTTGCCACCACGAAATATCATATTATCAGAAAGTAAAGCTTTATCTTCCGTGTTTAGCTTCGAACGCGCAACGCGCACCAATTCACGCAGAGTCATCTGCTTCTCGACAACAGGTCTTTGACCTCCAAGCCAAAGATAGCTGATAAGGAGACCGTAGCGATTGATGAGGTCACGAGCCTCACCAAGCATCACGCGACGATGCAGAGCGTGGATTGCTAGGGATATAGATCAGTAGGGATTGCGAGGTGTTGAAATTAACCACTCACGCGCTGAAGGGTGGCCTGTATTCGTGTGTTTGAAGCTTTAAGTTGGTTTATGTTTTCGGCTTGTTCGCCAGTTATACCAGAAATTCCTGGCATAGGTCACCCAGAGCCTGCTGGACTGAGCACTGAGGGACCATCGGTTGCTGATACGTGTACCACTGAACCACGTATGACTATTGTCAAGTAAGCGAATGACGAGGCAAAGATGCATGACGACGTTGCCTACCTTTCTTTGCTTTGCTTCGAGAAGATTTCAATTCTATCTTTAGCTCCAATAATTCTTCGTCTCATACAGAGTTTCGCTGATATCCGCCCGCGATTTTCCTTATTCTCGTTCACGAGTGCGCGCAATGCATGAGTATTTGACATTTTAAACAGCGCGGATTGGAAGCTATGAGATGGGGGTGGTTCAACTGATAAAAGGTGTTTGGTTGTATGAAATACAAACCTATGAAGAAATCTACTTTGTTCAATTCAATAGGAGATCCTGGGTCGAAGAGGGTGCTGTACCGCCAGTGGGCGGACGGTCGTTCATGAATTACTGAGTACGAGAAGTAAAGTGGTGTCTAGGTTCACATGAACTGTGCATGGTAGACTTTCAGAGTCCACAAGAGAGGGCGGATGGCATCCAACATTGCAGCAGCCCCCCACGAGCAGTACGAATTACCGAACATTTTAATCGCGTAAGTGAATTGATGCCAAGGGTGCAGATTTATCAGTTAACACCCGCATACTGGGATGAGCCGGCCCCCATGAGTTGAAGAAAATCGTCAAAGTAGTCCCGACTCACCTCTGCATCTTTCAACACAACCCTATCACCTGAAGGCTCACTGTAATGCAATCAACAGCACTATCCACAATTTAATGGGACTTGTTCTTGTGCGCAATCTATGCGGGATGTTCTACTTTGGTGTGCAATCCGCGGTCTTTGTGGATTTGATTGAAACGTCGTACTGGGGAATCGAGCATGGTTCTCGTTGTACGGACCAATCAATTGGCTCCAATGACCGTCCTCGGATGATACGATAGAATGCATGTCTGACCTGATGCCGTACTGACTGCGCACGCTACCCTGGCACGAAACGGAATGTACTCGCCATGAGAAGTCACGGAATGCGGTATACACGGGAGGAATAAAATTCAACATCGCGGATATCGGGAGTGCGGAGCTAGAGGAGGGCGCCAATCAGCTTAGTAATGCCACTCTGTAAGTGGAGGATGATCGGATGACCCGCGGGGCCTCGCTGGGACCGTATGATCTAGAAGTTTAGATATCGATTAGTAAGTATTTGTATCTTCATGATAATGTGCAGGCTATGCGAAATGGTAGATTCTTGACTCAGTTGTTCTGGCAACTACGATAAGCATGTTCATATGATATATTGTGCTGGCTAAGATCTGCAGTTAACGAGACCTTGCAAGACGGTGCCAAGACTGATCATGGCTAGCGCTCAGGATGGATTTGATTCAGAACCCTGGTCTCTATTACGGTCGTAGCGAATAGTGCTGCCGCGCGCCTCGATCAAAGTTCAATATATTTTCAATGGTCAACCCTAACTACTAGCGGTATTTCATCCTTTCTGCTAATATCCCCGCTATAGTCCCCAGTCATGACGCCCACCCTCACGGAACGCATTCCTCCCCCGCCTCCCGCCCAATTTCACCCCAGCGTCATCCTGAAGCACCCACAACCACAACCGAAATCGCCTATTCAGTCTAAAGTAGCTATACAGCCGTGGGTCGCCCAAGTAAGTCATTTGTATTTCTTGAATGGTAACTACCATGTAGCTCACTGTCACCCACGCCAGCTTGCGCACCTTGCCTCGCAGTACCACCTGAGCGAGTACAACCGTATAAAGTATGGCCATCGAGGTGCATCATTTGTTGCCATCATTCAATCCATTTTCACTAACCCCCATTGCAGGCTGTCCTATACCATATGCGCCACTATTACTGAACGCCCCAGACACCTTTCGCGACCTGCGTGTCCGGCAACTAGCAAATATGAATGGTGTACTATGGTGGCCATGTCCAGAGGTGTCCTATGCCACTGCACAAGTGATACCCGCTTCCGAACAGCGCAATGCACTCGTTAGCGGAACCGCTTGCCCTTCCCTCGACCCGCTTCTCCAGAAAGAGCTGAACGCGGCACTAGAGGATACTCTTTCCTCACAAATGCCACCTGCAACTATTCCCGAATGCACCTCACATTGTAGCATGCCCGTCAAGACATCTAAAACCCATCCGTTAAAGTTCGTTTTAATTTACTCTTGAAGAACCCTGGCTTATAATTTGGTTGCAAATGCAGCATATCCACCATTGTGCCTCCAGAACTATTACCCGCAATTTCATCACATCTTATAACCAATCCCGAGCCCTCACCTGTCATCTTCCATATACCTGATTTCTATACCCTCTATCGCATCACGGACTATGCACAGCACGTCCCATCAACAACGAGCACTACATCTCTAGCGGTCTCACGTAAGGCTCACTCGTGTTGGTCAAGTCGAATTCCGTTATCACCCTCAATACCCGCGCATTCTTCTTCACTAAACCCTATTCCTCATACCCCTCCCCTCCCGATACCCCCAGCGTTCACAAACCAACCACCGCAGTCCATAATCGAAGCTCTTCAGGCTGCCATTGACACGCGCCTAACGACGCTCACCACCAAACCTCGTCCTTCGCTTCCATTCATAGCAAAGCTTCCTCCTCCTACTCTTAAACATAGTACCAAAGTTCGCATGGTATCCGATGATTTGGCGAGCAACCGGTCTTCATCTGCACAAAGAGGGACTTCTGCTCTGCCAAAGGTTGTCTTTCCTTCTATGCTCGACTTCCTTAATTCCAGTGAACGTGAACAGTGAGTCCATGTCATCGCTGTTCCTTGTGTGTAAGCCTGATGGTGTAGACTGGCGTTTTCGGTTACATCGCAGAATGCCACCAAGCCAAGAGCGTCTGGCGCATTGCTCCATCCAACATCAAATATTCCTGGTACCAAGCGTTGTTTCAAGCTGGGTAACTTGATGGTGTCCTCGTGTCCAGGAAAGAAGGGTACGTTTCACTCAAGGCATGAGTGTGTCCACTGACTGGTGTCAAAACGGTTGCTAGTGCGCCTCACAGGTCCGGTCAGAGGGCGCAGCGCCGTTTGTCGAGATCTCGACACTGATTTACGGCATATAAGTCAAGTTGGAGCACGCTGCATTGTCTGGTTAGTTGACATGTTAACATGTCCTGTGCATAGTTAACTGTTTGTAGTTGTCTGGATGACGAAGAGCTTGAGTTTCTTGGGATACACTGGTCAGACTACGTGAGCTCTGCACACCGGGCAGGAATGGACATCCTTCGGCAAGTATTCCATCTGTCGAGTCCTTCAGCTGCTGACTTTCATTATATTTGCAGGATACCACTGCCTGAAGGCCTTGCTCCACTATCGCCCCAGTCATTAGACGAGTCTCTAACAAAACTCATCGATGGTTACACCATGCGTGGTGCAAGTATCCTCGTACATTGTCGAGGGGGATTTGGGTAGAGCAGGCCTCGTAGCATGCTGTTGGGCACTAAAAGTCGGTTTGTGCGGGTGGATCAACGTGGACCTATCACCGAACCCAGCAGAAGGCCCCGATGGCTCGGAGAGTTGCGTTAGGAGGGATACTTTACAGCTCGTCGAGCGCGCGATCACTGTTGTGCGGAGACGGCGAAGCGTCAAGGCTATTGAGACGCTCGAACAGGTGCGGTTTTTGACTGAGTATGTTGATTTTTTACGGGAGCGGGAGGGACAGTCGTGATTTATGGCTGGTGTATTTATTGTCTCGGTGTGAACGGCGTGTTATCTTGATTTGTTGTTATAACCTTTACTCTACTGTAGTCATTTTCATGTGTAGGTTTAGTAGGAGCTGATGTTCTTGTACATGACTGCAATGAGGAGATCCTGCAGAACTTGAATTCCATTCCCGCTACAAGTCGATCGAGCAGGATCTGATTTCCAGATCTAGCTCGCCAATTTTGCTCTATGATAGAAAGACCATCTATTTCGCTGACACCTTCGAGCTCAAGCCCTGAGGGCCTCGCGTTCTCTTCACGGCTGTCGGTTCGTTGGAAGCAGAACTGATCAAGATAAGACCCAATATCAACTACACAATGAGGAATATCAAATGAGAACTTCCATCCCTCCCCATTCCAACACCCTGAACAAAGCCATATCACCGGCCCTTGCAAGATCCACTCCAACTACATCCACCCACCAAGCAACGTCTCTCTCTGCTTGTATCTGGGCATTAGACCAATCTACCAAGTGCTCCTTAGAGATACCTCTGAACAGCATGAACACGCGAGTCACGACGTCAGGCCGTGGAGAGATGCTCAAGGAAGCGGCGCGTTCGTATGCTGCTTGAGGGACGAATCGGAGGGCAATGTATTCGTGCTTGAGGATGGATGGTAGCCAGTAGCTATCGCGGCAATTTTAGTGACGTGTTTATGGTTTGACAGCCCGAGTACGCACGTTATGAATGATGTTCTAGCTTCGGTGTGAAGTCCCAGAGCCTTGAGTGATTTATCGAGGTAAACAGTTATTTTGTCGACTGGAATGACAACTGAATCTGTATCGCTGAGACTACTGGATGTGGGACTGAATGTATCCACTGGTTGCGGTTTGGATGCTGGTGAATGAGGCGAATTTGTCCTGCGAGGAGTAATACGAGTTAGGAGTGTGATTTCTGTATCATCAGGGGACTTACTCCGCCTCCCAAAACAAGTACGCCACATCTAAACCAGAATTATGTTCTGTCAGACTCCCATCTTGATGGGTGCAGACATTCCATTCTAAACGCTGTCCATGGTCTTCCGTGGTAACAACGGGATAGATGACAGAGAGGCTCCACTCAGGAATGAGGGAAAGCTTGACAGAGACATCGATATCGGAGGGCGAGTATAGATAAATGACTGGTTTGCCACCGCGCAGCGATGGCAGGGGATTGATGGAGTCACCATTCTTGACTTTGTTATTGTTCCTGCTCCATGGTCTCAACTTCAGTGCTGAAATAGAATGCGGATGCGTACGAGCTGTCTTTAGCTAAACTAGCCCAAGAAACTATACGACTGCGGTGGGAGGGGCAATGCCATTTCTGCACGAGTCACCTCAATGAAGGTAAGCAAGTCAATGATCTCGTCCCATGTTTCAGCCGTGATGTCCACAAAGTGACCATCGCAAATATCGAGTTGATTTGTCTGCAATGTGACCACATCTCTCGGAATGCTTGGAAAATGTTTGCATGCCGAGTCCAGCATGAGCTTATACCATTTATGAGCCATTGAAGAATTAAACGGTTGTTCCACCTACATTATACGACCTTTGCCTTTTGGCCATAACCCGTTTTTGACCATGTTTCAGAACAACAAGTTGCGAGGTTTGTTTCGCTTCAGTCCTCCCCCACAATAGTGTGGAAACAGACATTATAATCGAGAGGTACGAAGTTTGAAGTCTTCAAGTGCAAGAAGAGGATGACGACGCTGTTTATGAGCTATGGCGCTCGCGATGCCCTCAAGTATTCGATACTGCGCCCTACATACACGCATAGCACGCATGCATAGCACATGGCAGTCACCTAGTCGCGTGTCTATCGTGACAGAGTGATACAGAGCGATCGAGTACTACTAACACCAACAAACACCACCTTGACCCCCTTATTATTAAGTTAGAGCTAGTAATGTCCCTTCCACTGCAGTCGGCACCCCACAGAAGTCGGCACTTTCACAAAACTCGTATTTCTAGCTGCTTAAATTCTTAACGCAGGCGTCATTGATTTCAAGACAAGACGCGATATCAACTACACAATGAGGAATTTGCTCGGATATCAAATGAGAACTTCCATCCCTCCCCATTCCAACACCCTGAACAAAGCCGTATCACCGGCCCTTGCAAGATCCACTCCAACTACATCCACCCACCAGGCAACGTCTCTCTCGGCTTGCATCTGGGCGTAAGACCAATTTGCCAAGTGCTCCTTAGAGATACCCCTGAACAGCATGAACACGCGAGTCACGACGTCAGGCTGTGGAGAGATGCTTAAAGAAGCGGCGCGTTCGTATGCTGCTTGAGGGACGAATCGGAGGGCGATGTATTCGTGCTTGAGGATGGATGGTAGCCAGTAGCTATCACAGCAATTTTAGTGACGTGGTTATGATTTGACAGCCCGAGTACGCACGTTATGAATGATGTTCTAGCTTCGGTATGAAGTCCCAGAGCCTTGAGTGATTTATCGAGATAAACAGTTATTTTTTCGACTGGAATGACGACTGAATCCGTATCGCTGAGACTGCTGGATGTGGGACTGAATGTATCCGATGGCTGTGGTTTGGATGCTGGTGACCGGGGAAATGCTTGCAAATTTGTCCTGCGAAGAGGAAAGTTAGAAGAATGATTTCTTTATTATCGAGGAACTTACTCCGCCTCCCAGAATAGGTACGCTACATCTAAACCAGAATTATGTTCCGTCAGACTGCCATCTTGATGGGTGCGGACATTCCATTCTATATGCTGTCCGTGGTCCTTGGTAGCAACAATGGGGTAAATGGCAGAGAGGCTCCACTCAGGAGTGAGGGAGAGCTTGACAGAGACATCGATATCGGAGGGCGAGTATAGATAAATGACTGGCTTTCTACCACGCAACTCCAGCATTGCCTGAGGATTGAAGGAGTCTGAGTCACCATCCTCGATGTCGTACGATCCGATACTCAATGCCTGAAGATTGATGAAGTCACCATTCTTGATGTTGTATGATCCGATACTCCAGTCCTGACGCATCGTTGTCCCACCCCAAATCGCCTCGACATCAGTGGGACAATATCCTAACATGCGACTAGCATCAGCAACAAGTTTGTCTACCCGCGTTGATCTCGGAATTTTGGTAGAACGAATCTCGCCAGATGGAAAAACCAATTTGATTGTGATTTTACCACCGTTCCTGCTGCATGATCTCAACTTCAGTACCGAAAAACACTTGTAGAATGGGGATGCGTACGAGTTGTTTCTATTGTTAACCTGACTTGGCGCCGGTCGATTGTCAGGCAATGAAATAGCCCAAGTATCAAGTGGCAGTGGGACGGGCAATGCCATTTCCGCACGAGTCACCTCAACGAAGGTAACCAAGTCAATGATTTCGTCCCACGTTTCAGCCGTGATGTCTACAAAGTGGCCATCGCAAACATCGAGTTGATTGGTCTGCAACGTGACTACATCTCTCGGAATGCTTGGAAAGTGTTTGCATGCGGAGTCAAGCATAAGCTTATACCATTTATGAGCTATTAGAGAATTAAACAGTTGTTTCACCTACATCATACGACCTTTGCCGTTTGACCACGACCCGTTTTTGACCATGTTTCAGAACAAGAAGTGGCGAGGTTTGTTTCGCTTCAGTCCTCTCCCACAATAGTGTGGAAGACATTATGATCGGGAGGTACGAAGTTTGAAGTCTTCAAGTTAAGTGCAAGTAGAGGGTGACGACGCTGTCTACGAGCTATGGCGCTCGCGATCCCTTCAAGTAGTATTTGGCACTGCGCCTACATACACACATAACACACATACACATAGCAGTCGCGTGTATACAAGTGTATCATACAGAGCGATCGAATAATACTAACACCAGCAAACACCACCTTGACTTAGAGCTGCAATCGGCACCCCACAGAAGTCGGCACTTTCACAAAACTCGTATTTCTAGCTGCTTAAATTCTCAACATAAGCATCATTCTCTTTCTGATACAACTCATTACGACCATAATTAAAGCAGAATTGAGTGAGATACTTGCAAGTGCCGAAGTCACGCAGAAATGTCATGATCACCTGCCGATATGTGCGAGTTTCAAACTGCACACACCCACTTGCAACGCTGCTGGTCATAGGGCTGGTCCGCAATGATATTTTGACACCACAAATCATGCAGGCTACTTACTACTAGTAGGTGAAAGTCCACTAATAGCACCATAGAATGGTAAAATGTACATACATTAATCTCCGTGTGCTGCAATGTGCGAGTTCTTGAATTACCGTTGGTCCTTACAACCTGGATGATGCAAGCATGTAGATCTAAATCTTGGGTATTACTAGTCACTGCCCACTGATTGTGAAAGGTCGGCGGAGACTCCATCGAGACTGTCTTGCCATGGATTGCACAACAGAGAGGCGGTATGCGCTCGATGTTTGCAAGTGAGTATATGTGGCAGCAGGGTCTGGTAGTACCTTGTAATTTAAGTTAATAAAAGGAACGATTAACTTCATTATTTTTTAGGTCTGCCTGATTTCGCGGATACCTTCGAGCTCAAGCCTTGAGGGCCTTGCGTTCTCTTCACGGCTGTCGGTTCATCGAAAGCAGAACTGATCAAGACAAGATGCAATGTCAACTATACAATGAGGAATTTGCTCAAATATCAAATGAGAACTTCCAACCCTCCCCATTCCAACACCCTGAACAAAGCCGTATCACCGGCCCCTGCAAGATCCACTCCGACTACATCTACCCACCAAGCAACATCTTTCTCTGCTGACATCTGAGCATTAGACCAATCTGCCAAGTGCTCCTTAGAGATACCCCTGAACAGCATGAACATGCGAGTCATGACATCAGGCTGCAGAGAAATGCTCAAGGAAGTGGCGCGTTTGTATGCTGCTTGAGGGACATGTTGTGAGAACAGGCAAGCGAACTGACAGGGAGAGGGAGCTAGAACACAAAGGTATGATCTCAGTTTCAACTAGATCACTAGAACTCATATTAACAGTGTATAGTACCTAGAACACAAAGGTATGCTACGGTTTTGGTCAGTAAATGCTGACATACATGTTTCCAAGTACTCACATCTCAGTTTCAACTAGAACTGAGATGTGCGCATCTGATGGGCACTTGGTTTTATAGGAAGGTAAGTAAGGAATGCAAAGGTGAAGTTTTCTGACTATATGTATATTGCAGGGTGCAAGCCAATGTCATTTGGGCGCAGCCTATTGGCCTGTCTGCCTCATGTGCTACTTGGACCTCTCTCTCTTGCTCATACCTATCATGTCAGATCCTTTGGCTTCCTCACTCTCTTTCTCTTCAGATCATTCAGGACTTCAGACCCATGTGGGTGTGTAGCTTTTGTAGCTGGGGATGGGGCAATGCCTTGGTGAATGCATCAGTAACCTTATCAGTCCATGGGGCAGTAGAGGAGCTCGAAGGTGCCGTTTTTCACATGTGAGTGGATGAAGTGGTACCTCAAGTTGATATACTTCATACGCAATTGAAATTTTCTGGTGGATGCTAACACTATAGTGGCTTGGTTATCGCAGAATATGGGGGTGGGGAGGCTTGGTGGTTCATAGAGTTTGCCAAGGAGTAGTTGAAGGTACAGTATTTCCTTCACTACACTGGTCAGAGCAATGTACTCAGCTTCTGCATGTCGATAGGGTGATTATGGGCTGCTTTCTTGTGCTCCAGGACACTGGGCCTCCATTGAGGAGTACTATGTACCCACTCATGGAGTGCCTGTGTGGCTGCAAAGCCCAATCTGTGTCGACAAACACTTCAATCCCAGCATCTGTAGATCCCAAGGTGAGCTTGAAGTTGTCAGTGGCTTTTAGGTAGCAAAGAGCTCACTTACTAGCCTCCCAGTGTGCCCTTCCAGGGTTTTCATGAACTGCGACAATGTTGCTACCACAAAGGCGATATCAGGACGCATGCTCATTGCCGCGTACATCAATGAGCTGATGGCTCATTGATAAGGTACGTCTTGCATGGCGGCTAGCTCTGCATGCGTTCCAGGGGACTGATCTATGGACAGGGAGGTGGCCGGTTCCATGGGGGTCTGGACAGTCTTAGTGTCCCCCAGATGAAAACATTCAATGATTGTGTCAACATAGGCCTTTTGAGAAAGGGTAATGGTGCGTCCCACTCTATCTCTTGTTACCTTTAGCCCTAATAACCATGATAGCTCACCTAGGTCGGATATCTCGAAGAATTTGCCAAGTTTTGACTTGAATCAGAGAATGTGGGACTTGTGATTGGCGGTGACAGCCATGTCATCAACCGACGTGGTGATGATGATGTGCTCTTTGGGGGTACATTTGAAATATACTGCTTGATCGACCTGGGAGCAGCTAAAACCCATCTTCAGAAATGCTCCAGCTAGTTCCACTGCCCACTCAAAACCTGCCTGCTTCAAGCCAGGCAAGCTGCGCTTTAGCTTCAGTACCTTTCTCTCCTGACCCTCCTTCAGATATCCTGGTGGCGCCCTCATATATATGTCTTCCTTGACATCTGCATAGAGGTAAGCGCTCTTCACATCCACCTGATGAATCTCCCAGTCCTTCTGGGCTGCCATGCTTTATACGGTACATATTGTGCTCATATTTGCTGTTGGGGCAAACATGTTGAAGTAGTCAACACTATATTGCTGATGTTGTCCATTCACGACAAGTCATGCTCTTAGCTTGAGCTTTTCGCCATCAGGGCCTTGCTTAGTTGCTAACATGAAGTGGCAGGGTATAATATTTGATCTGTGAGGTAAGTCCGTGATGTCCCATGTTCCCAACTTCTCCAGCTGACTGATCTCGTAGTCTAGCGCTTCCTGCCATTCTGGACCATCTGGACCGTTCAGAGCCTGCTGCAAGGTGGGCTCTGGCTCAGCCATTGCTAAGGCTAAGTGAATGTGAGCTTCCTTGTCTAGAAGATCCAAATCTGACACGTCCTTCAGGGATTTGATGGCTACAGCTGCCATTTGGCCCTTTTGGAGCTGGGCATAGTACCCTGGAGCTGGTCTGGCTTGGCTTTCCCTGGGTTCTGGGGCATTTGGAGTAGTGTTTGGAGTAGGAGTGGGAGTAAGTGGGATGGGCTGGACGCTAGGTGCGACACTAGGTGTGTTGCTATCAGTACTCATCTCCTCTTCTATAGGTCTTGACTCCCCCTTGTTCAGCACATCCTGGTCAACAAGCATGTTGGGTGGTGCAAACGTTACATTTCACTCAACAGAGACTCACCTTTTTGCCAGCCAGTATACACAGTATGCCTTGCTATCTGTGTTGATCCCGACGAAAATGGCCTCCTCAGTGCGTGGTTCAAGCTTTCCAGCATTCGCCTGGTGGACATACAGCTTTGATCCAAACTCCTGGGCCATGGACAGGTTGGGTCTTGCCCTATGGACAAGTTGGTGAGGAGTAGTGCCAGGTATGGCACTCGAGGGTAAGTGGTCCTTTAACCAGGTAGCATAATTCACTGCTTCTGCCCACAGGAACTTCGGGAGGTCTCGTCCTATGAGCATTGCTCTAGTGAGCTCGACCAGGGTCCTATTTAGGCACTCAGCCACTCCATTTTGCTGGGGTGAATTGTGGACAGTGAGTTGTCTCTTGATCCCCTGGTCCAACAGATACTTATCAAACTCTGCACTCAGATACTCCCCTCCACGGTCTGATCGAACTTTTCATAGACACAGTCCCAGGGCTTTGATGAGTAAGGTGCGCCTCATACCTCTTGAATGCCTCCAATGCCTCACTCTTAGCTTTCAGGAACTCAACCTTCGTTTCATGGGTGTAATCATCCATGAAACTAATATAATAGGTCATATTGCTGAGGCTGGTAGTCTGCGCTGGGCCCCACAAGTCTGTATGGACAAGTTCCCTGTAGGTGAGTGTGCATGTTTTTGACTCTTGTGGAAATGGCTGACAAGTCACTTTGGCTTGTGCGCATGCTTCGCAGAATTCAGTAGGGGAGGTGAGGTCAACATCCAGACCTTTGATGAGCTGATCCTTTGCAACTTGCAGGATGGCTTTCTGGGAGATATGGCCTAGGGCACGATGTACCTCAGCCAAGGTAAGTTTTGCCCTTGTGACATGAGTGTGATGGGTTTTCTGACTGGCCACACTATACAGACCCTTAAGCTGCAGGATTTCAGTGATGACTTCGCGTTTGGGCCCCTTCAACAAGATTTGGCACATCTTGCCTTCAAACAGGACCACTAATCTGGCCAAAGTGATTCTGTTGGTCAAGATTAGGGTAAATACCATAGAGGGGGCATATAATGCATCCTTCAGGGTGACAGTTGTTCTCTTTGTCCCCAAGGGTAAGTCTATCTTGACATCTCCTCTGCCAGTAGCGCTGAGAACTGACCCATTCACAGTGAATACATCTTGTGGGGTGATAGGGACAAAGTTCGAGAACTTCGACCTGTCAGGACAGAAATGGGAGGTTGCGCTGGAGTCTACTATGGCTCCACAGCGTTCAGGAGGTATGTTTATCCTCTGGGCAATGTTGGCAAGGTCATCTGTCATGAAAGCATAGTTCTCCTGACCCTCTGACTCCTTTGCAGCATTCACGCTCTGTTTTTGGGTATGTCCTCCCCTCTTCCCTCTCTGGTTTGGTCCCTGACCCTCTTTTCCTCCCCCTGGCCTCCAGCAATCACTTTTGTAGTGGCCTTTTTGGTCACAGTTATAACAAACTGCGTCCTGGGTTGGACTGGGGTGAGGAGGTGGACAAGGACTTTCCTTTTCCTGGAGGTCCTCTTGCTGATAGGGCCAAATTGGGTCCCTTCTTAGTAGGTTGCTGACTGGTGAGTTGCTGATGCTCATATTCCTCTGAGACGATATTGATTAGTTCATAGGAGCTTATGGATGCACCGGTTATCTTCATAGCCACACTAATGGATGAGAGTAGGGGACAATAGGATTCCGGGAGGGACGCCAGTATCATGGCATAGAAGTCTTTCTCCTTGATGGCAGCTCCCATGCCTGCCAGTGACTCACGGAGCCGAAGCATCTCACTAAAGTGAGTCTTTATATCTCCGTTCTCCTCACATCTGGTCTCCTGAAGCCTTCGCCTCAGATCAATCTGGACAAGCTCGGTTTTCCCTTCATGAATATTGCAGATCTCAGCCCAAATCACTGAAGCAGCCTTGAGCTTCTGCATGCACAGCAGCAGCCTATCAGTTATGGTGCTGAAGATTTGCTGTTTCACTAGTGAGTCCTTCTGGTCATACTCATTGATCTTCTTATCAAGAGTCTTGATCTCTGCTGTTGTCAGCTCACTGTCATCCTCCTTTTCAGGAGTTTTGGTCCTCTGTTGACCTTGTAGGGGACAGGTTGTACTGCACGTCCATTGGTAAACCGCATCAGACCTCTCGCACCAATTGCTGTTAACGTTTGTTCCTTATAAGTAATCCAATTGCTACCATCTTTGGCTAGCTTTGGGACGTTGAATAGGGCAGAGCTGGAGGAGGGGAGCATGATTTCCATGGCTGTAGCAGGGCTCATAACCTGTTGCGAGAACAGGCAAGTGGACGACAGGAGAGGGAGCTAGAACACAAAGGTACGATCTCAGTTTCAACTAGATTCAACTAGAACTCATATTAACATGTATAGTACCTAGAACACAAAGGTACACTATGGTTTTGGTCAGTAAATGCTGACATACATGTTTCCAAGTACTCACATCTCAGTTTCAACTAGAACTGAGATGTGTGCATCTGATGGGTGCTTGGTTTTATAGGAAGGTAAGTAAGGAATGCAAAGGTGAAGTTTTCTGACATATGTATATTGCAGGGCACAAGCCAATGTCATTTGGGTGCAGCCTATTGGCCCATCTGCCTCATGCACTCAGACCTCTCTCTCTCTCGCTCATACCTATCATGTCGGATCCTTCGGCTTCCTCACTCTCTTTCTCTTCGGATCCTTCAGACTTCAACAATTAGAAATCATCTGGGCAATATTTATCTCCAGGGACAACGTACAAAGATTTGGAAGATCTGTTGTAGTCAAAGTAAGTTGTCAACTTAGGGTTCCAAAACACAATGGAAATGGGATGGGATCAATGAATGTTTCAATCTATGGAAAGCTTGCTGGATGATGGGATACAGTTCAAAGACAAGTGGGTGCTTGTCCTGTTGCACTGTTGCAGGAGGCCACGAGGTTGCTGTGCATGCTGTGCCAAGCAGTACTATTACTACCGTGCGTACAGCAGAAATACTAGTAAGGAGAGATATTCTTGTACAAGTAAAAACCTGTAAATTTTGCAGTATAAGGTGTCACTATAGTGTCTGCGTTCGAATTCGATCTCGACTCCTACTATATGCCAGACTCTTACGAGTACCAGTTTCAAACACTGCATTTCAGCTTCGGCGCTCTAGTAGTACTCAAATGTACTTGTAAGAAGCTTGGCTTCTATTATATCGTAACGGCACTCGGCCGTGCCAGTCCCTGACACATTTGTATAGAATTTGAATGGGCCGTATCGTGAAACATCAAATCAAAGATGCACCAAAAGCCAAGTCGGTGCTCACTCCATCCTTGACGAAGTCACTGCAGCTCGTTGGAACGCCCTTGCATGTCCCTCAGTGAAAAGAGCCACCCCGAAGCTCCCAGCAGTGGCAAAAGGATGGATTGCCTAAGAATCTCGTCGGGGGTTAGATGATACTAATATACGTCTAATAGTTATATATTATTTCACCCAGTTTTGCGCGGACATCGTTGAGCTAGCATGCTCTCCTTACAACTGTCGGATGCAGAATTGATCAAGATAAAACGGGATAACACCTACACAATTTGAGTAATATCAAATGAGAACCTCCATCCCGCCCCATTCTAACACCCTGAACAAAGTCATATCACCGGCCCTTACAAGATCCACCCCAACTACATCCACCCACCAAGCAACGTCTCTCTCTGCTGACATCTGGGCGTTAATCCAATTCGCTAAATGCTCCTCAGAGATACCTCTGAACAGCATGAATACGCGAGTCACGACGTCAGGCTGCGGAGAAATGCTTAAAGAAGCGGCGCATTCATATGCTGCTTGAGGGACGAATCGAAGGGCAATGTATTCATGCTTAAGGATAGACGGTAGCCAGTAGCTACCACAGCAGTTTTAGGAACGTGTTTATGATTTGACAGCCTGCGCACGCACGTTATGAATGATGTTCTAGCTTCGGTGTGAAGTCCCAGAACCTTGAGTGATTTATCGAGGTAAACAGTTATTTTGTCAACTGGAATGACAACTGAATCTGTATCGCTGAGACTGCTGGATGTGGGACTGAATGTATCCACCGGTTGCGGTTTTGATGCTGGTGAATGAGGCAAATTTGTCCTGCGAAGAGTAATACAAGTCAGGAAAGTGATTTCTGCATTATCAGGGGACTTACTCCGCCTCCCAGAACAAGTACGACACATCTAAACCGGAATTGTGTTCCGTCAGACTCCCATCTTGATGAGTGCGGACATTCCATTCTAAACGCTGTCCATGGCCTTCCGTGGCAACAATGGGATAGATAACAGAGAGACTCCACTCAGGAATGAGGGAGAGCTTGACAGAAACATCGATATCGAAGGGCAAGTATAGATAAATGACTGGCTTCTTACCGAGCCGACACTTTGCTTCAATACTGATGGTGCTACCATCTCTGATGTCATACGATCTGAGGCTCCAGTTCTCTCGCATGATTACCGCACCCATACCTCCACCCACAGACTGAACTGCCATGAAATCAGTGGGATGTCCCAATGTCTTACAAGCATCAGCAATAAGTTTGTCCACCCGCATTTCCCTTGAGACTCTAGTAGTCTGAACCTCGCCAGATGGAGAAATAAGCTTGATTGTGACTTTGCCATCGTTCTTACTATGTAGTCTCGACTTCAGTACTGAAAACAGCTGTAGAATATTTGAGGTGCGTACGAACTGTCCTGTTCGTTAACCCGACGTGGCGCCGATTGATTATTAGGCGATGAGATAGTGCGGCGAGCACCAAGCGGCAGTGGGACGCGCGATGTCATTTCCTCACGCCGAGTCACCTCAATGACATTGAGCAAGTCAATGACATCGTCCCATATTTCAGCCGTGATGTCCACATAGTGGCCTTCGCAAACATCGAGTTCATTTGTCTGCAACGTGACTGCATCTCTCGGAATCCCTGGGAAATATTTGCAGGCAAAGTCAAGCATGAGCTTATGATATCCATGAGCCGTTAAAGATTTCAATGGTTGTTCCACCCACATTATACGACCTTTGCCGTTTAACCATGACCCGGTTTTGACCACATTTCAGAACAAGAAGTCGCGAGTTTTCTTTCTTTTTGGTCTCCCCTGAAAGTAGCGTAACAGACATTCGGAGGTGTGAAGTTCGAAGCTTTGTACAAGTAAAGGGTGACGACGAGGTTGTCTATGAGCTATGGCATGCTGGCACTTCAAGATCCCCTAATAACAGCAGACGGCTCGGTGGCTATACCACGTCATGATGCGACTATGTTGTTTGCTGTTGGTCTGTGGCGTTTCGCATACGTGCATGAGTTGTATTGGGCACATTACAGTTATCTTCATATCGAATAGACCAGAATTTGAAAATTCACTTCGCCACGCTTTTACGTAACATGGTGAGTTAGCCATTACATAATATTTCCTGGACGTCCTTATTCAATAGTTCCAACACTCTATCTGCTGGAGACTTGGTCTGTGTACCGTACTGCTCAGTGGCCTTCGAAGAGGTGTTATATTTGAAGCAAGGAACGACAAGTGATACTACATGCTATATTCTACGCCAGCCTCGTGCCTCGGCTAGCTTAGAAAGCCACCTAACCTGTCTTCTCGGCCAGTCGACCACTGGCAAACCCCTCCCCCAAATGGCAAACATCGTATCTAACTTTCACTTCCCAACAGGATAAAATATCTTCGTGATCCATGCACAATAAAGTTCCGGGAATTAGGGTATGGCGTCTGGTTGACAGGCAAATTAGCATGGCTCTCGCAGAGGGCCAACTTGAAATTTACGGGTGTGAATGACGTAAATCTCTCAGCTCTGCTCAGCTGTCAGTGAGGGGAGTAGGTTCTGCCCCCCGAAAGCTCCAGCTTTTTGAAGCCGATTTGTATTATTTTGCCGGTGAATTTCCCCTAATTGACTTTGCAGACTCCCATATCTCCCATTGATCATCCATTGGTGTCGTTGATGAAGCCACAGCATCAGCGGTACTCCTTACAGATACTTTGAACAACATGCAAACTTTTAATCTATCTCGCAGACACCGTCGAGCTCACGTTCTCCTCACAACTGTTGAATGCAGAACTGATCGAGATAAAGATAAAACGCGACAACACCTACACAAATCGAATAATCTGATAGAATATCAAATGGGAACTTCCATCCCGCCCCATTCCAACACCCTGAACAAAGTCACATCACCGGCTCTTGCAGGATCAACTCCAACTACACCCACCCACCAAGCCACGTCTTTCTCCGCTTGCGTCTGGGCGTTAGACCAATTGGCTAAATGCTCCTTAGGGATACCTCTGAACAGCATGAACACGCGAGTCACGACGTCAGGCTGCGGAGAAATGCTCAAGGAAGCGGCACGTTCATATGCCGCTTGAGAGACGAATCGGAGGGCAATATATTCATGCTTGAGGATGGACGGTAGCCAGTAACTATCACGACAATTTTAGTGGTATGTTTATGGTTTGACAGCCTGAGGTAGCGCATGTGTACGCACGTTATGAATGATGTCCTAGCCTCGGTGTGAAGTCCCAAAACCTTGAGTGATTTATCGAGGTAAACACTTGCTTTGTCCGCTGGAATGACAATCGAATCCATATCATCGAGACTGCTGGATATAGGATTGAACGTATCCACTGATTGCGGTTCGAACGCTGGTGACTGGGGAAATGCTTGCAAATTTGTCCTGCGAAGAGCGAAGTTAGAAGAATGGCATCATTATTATCGAGGCACTTACTCGGCCTCCCAGAACAGGTACGACACATCTAAACCGGAATTATGCTCCGTCAGACTCCCATCTTGATGGGTGCGGACATTCCATTCTAAACGCTGTCCATGGTCTTCCGTGGCAACAACGGGATAGATGACAGAGAGGGTCCACTCAGGAATGAGGGAGATCTTAACAGAAACATCGATATCGGAGGGCGAGTATAGATAAATGACCGGCTTTTTACAAAGATGACGCTTTCGAACTCGAAGAATGATGGAGTGACCATCTTTGATGTTGTACGATTCGATACTCCGGTTTCCACGCATCACTATCCCGCCCAAACTCCCATCCTCAGAGTGAAGTGCCATGATGTCAGTGGGACACTGTCCCAATATTCCCATTAATGTCTGACTAGCATCAGCGATAATTTTGTCCACCGGCATTTCCCTCGAGATTCTAGTGGTCTGAATCTCGCCAGATGGAAAAACAACTTTGATAGTGACTTTGCTGTATGGTATCAACTTCAGTACTCCATACACTCGTAGGATATTTGAGGTGCGTACGAGCTCTCCTGTTCGTTGACCTCACGCCGAGTCACCTCAACGACATCAAGCAAGTCAATGACATCGTCCCATATTTCAGCCGTGATGTCCACATAGTGGCCTTCGCAAACATCGAGTTCATTTGTCTGCATCGTGACTACGTGTCTCGGAATGCTTGGGAAATGATTGCAGACGGCATCAAGTATGAGCTTGTAATATCTATAGGCCGTTGAAGATTTAAATGGTTGTTCCACCCACGTCATACGGCCTATGCCGTCTAACCATGACCCAATTTTGACCATGTTTCAGAGTAAGAAGTTGCAAGTTCTTTTGGGTCTCCTCCGGAAGTAGCGTAACACACATTCAGAGGTGCGAAGTTCGAAGTTTTCAAGTCAAGTGGAAGTAGAGGGTGACGACATTGTCTATGACTTATAGCATGCTGGCTCTCGATCCCTTAATGGCTGGCAGAAGGGGCGGCTCGGTGGCAATGGCATCTACCACGTCACGCTATGTGGCTGCGTGTTTTTTGCTATTGATCTGTATACGTGTATGAGTAGTATTGGACAAATCAATTGTCATGCTCGAGTTCCGTCCGTCAACTGCACCACGTTCATCTGTTTGTATGTCCAACCTTGCAATTGTGATGTCACCGTGACGGTACCTGGGAGGTCTGGCGCGGTCCTCCGTACATCATCGATATTTGAGGCTTTAGATAATAGCAACATTTTTCTGCTCTCCTTCTGTCCTTCACGAAATCAATGATCTGCAGCAAGAAAAAGACCCGGCGAGTAACGGCGCGTCCGTATTACCGCTCAGAATAAATCAACTTTGATTGCGCGCAAGTATGCAAGCAGTAGCTTACATCCATTGCGTACTGCCATCCGAAGGGAATCGATGAGTTGTGTGGGCGCTTCCACGACATGGTGGAGACTCCCGGTTCAACGAGACTATCATGTCATGGACTGCTCTGATAACGAACCCACAGAAAAGGAGCAACATAGATTGTTGGATGGTAGACCAGACAAGGTCGAAAGCAAGGGACGGGATGACAAATAGAAGCAAAGTCCGCTAGCCCCGGAAACGCATCGGGCCGCTCTTTTCACCAGAGGACGGTATGTGTGCGGATGAGTGGTCAGGACAGGAATAGGTGGCAGCGGGCTTGGAAGTGCCTTTAAAGTTGAGTTTTATGTAATAGAAGCAGCAGCAGACTTCGTTCTTCTATAGGTTCCTTGGGAAGACTTAGTAAGTAACGCCTGGGAGGAGTGCGAGCGAAAGGCGGAATTAAATGCAGCGTCCAGGCTCATTAAATCACTTATCGGATACGACCTCAGTACACAGCTGCTCACAGGTATATATCGATCAGCGTTGAAACACTGAACGTCGAACTTATCTGTTCAATCAGTTCTTGTAGATCAAACTTGCCCTCGACCTTGATAGGACAATGTGGTCTGTACAAGTATCTGCCCTGGTGCCTCCGATAATGAACGAGACCGCATTAACAGCGCTGTTCAGGGGATTTAAAGCGAGGGGTGATGACAGCTCAGCTTGATCTGATATGATCTAGAAATCAGACGAGGATATTGCTGTATTCAGATGGGTCACCATCAGGAGGGGAAGATTCGTGACAGTCCCAGTATGATGCACGAAGAACATCAAGCTTTCGTTGCCTTCGCCCGTGAATTCGAGTCCGGGAGCAATAATTACGCCCATCATAAATAAAAGTACAAGATTATCGTAGCCAATGATTTTCAAGGCATAAAACAGTCTCGATTCTAGCATTATAATCATCATCAATGATCATCAGCGCCAGGCCACCCCCATATGATGGTCCGAGTTGCTCCGTCATGCCACGACTGTACTCTGCGTCTAGCTAGTGTGGACATCGTAGAACGAAGAGTACCAACGAAGCCGGCTCCATTCGACTGAATGATAGCGTCGATAAACACTGGGTGCCTGGTAACGGCCACGACTTCCGTTAGAATGAAAATATGACATCTAATCGGCTCACCATTTTCCATAGATCTCTTCTGTCCGCTCTGCCGCATGATCTACCCATGTCCACCCCAAAGCCCTAACTTCTGACCACCATTCTGGGTCACTTTCGTCACTGGTCATGATAACATGTGTAGCCTCAATCCCTTTTCGTGTGCGAAGCTCTTCCTGTACCTCGGACACCCTGTGCCCAATGACAGACAACGAGGCGAAGCATTGATCCACAGGAACTTGCTCGCATTGATCGCGGAAGTCACCATGTCGTATGTGGATGGATACATACTATCCAAAGTTAGATCTGCAGAGTAACCTGTACCTGAAACTTGCACTCACGGGAGGTGTCGGTTCATTTACTGGCACGTTCATGGCGCGCCGGGCGTACGCATCTGCAAGCCCTTCGATGTTTGCAGTCCATCGCATGTGTTGACCTACAAATCTCCATGCAGGAGAATAGTCTAATTCCCATTCCCATGTATTCTGGGCGCTTATGAAGTAAAGAAGGTCGAAGCATAATAAGTGATCATCCGGGGGAAGGGAAACCTGATGCTGAGGAGAAGGATAATTCTTTAATGGTAATGCCAGGCTGCTCGAGCGAGCCTCGGGAAACCCGAGTGATGCAAGGGACCAAAAAGATGCATGATTGTCTTGTTTGCTAGGAGACGTCAGCTCGACCCAAGGTGGGGTTAGCGTCCACGAGATATCTGTAATGGCCATGCATTTAATCACCGAAGAGGGATGTTCGAAGCTGTCTTACCGAGCTTGAGCAGGTTCAGGGAGGGACTTCGCCGTGGTTCAGGAATCGGTATGTGGTATTGAACGGTTTCCCAGACACTCCAACAACCAAGATCATCGAAAACCGGACTTTCCGGCTCCTTTACTTCGTGCCATTCAAGCAAGTGAATCCCTATAGCTTGACTAAGTCGAGGGACGTCGAACACTTCCCCAAAAACAAATGGAGGTGCACTTGGGTCGATATGAGTAGAGAGGAACTTTGGGATTATGGGTGTACGCTCTGTTATGAGTGCCAGGTAAATCAAATTGGCCTAGTTTTTGTGAGGAATCAGGACAACGTCGGAAGTGGATCGTTGACTTACATAGGACATCACGTCATTCGCTAATCGATAGCTGTGGTCAGTGATTCAAGTAGTGGTTGATTGGAGTTAACGTACTCCATCCCGCTGAACCCCACGATGTAATGTACCTCGTGTCATTGCGAAGGTTATCTGAGACCAATATTATTTGTGAGACCCAAGCCTTGGACGTTTCGACGCATACTGACCTTGAAAGCGTTGGGTGGGTGGGCCTTGGACATAAGACTGGGAGTTGAAGACAGTCGAATGCGCAGGGGTGACAGGCTGTATGTCCGGTATATAGCTCGAGGGCTTGAACAAGAGAGTTCCAAAGCCGAATAAAAAGGCACCGGTCAGAGTTGCGCAGATCGTCCTGAGAGAAAACATTCTGCCTTTGGCATGGAACATGGGAATCTTTAAACGGGTGGTTGTATTAAATGTGTCCTATTTCGGGCTCGGGCACTCTGTTCAGTTCATAATACGGAGAAGGTGGGACTCAAGAATTCCCATTTGTATGTGGATCACATATAGTGGACAACGCGGCAATTACCTGATTTTGTACCTGAGGGGCTGTAATTGCCATTTTAGGTGCGCTGCGGTGTTTCATTGTTCAAGGTACATGAAAGCCTGCAGTTGATACCATATCATCACGGTAACGGCGCTCGGCCGCGCCAGTCCCCAACCCATATCCACCATGAATTATATCTCTACATACAGTATCTACACCTACAGGTAAAACAGGAACGAGTCCGTAACCATTTCGTTGTCTATCGGGGAAAACTGTGACTACGTTTACGCGTTCTTCATGACCTTTAAACTCTCGTACGTGTGTAGTGCTTCGAATCGGCTGTCATTCTACTGGAAATTGATGGTGTTGAGCACAGTCGAAGTGGACTGAGCGATTGTGGGTGTCTTTCTCTGAGCTGCAGAGGTGCGTGTACTCTGTCCTCTTTTGCTGTTTTACCATATTTACATGCCTCATGTTTCCTTAGACGCCCGAGTATAAAGCTATTGTGCAAGGCTTGCTGGCGCGAAGATAATCGTTCTACATGGCTATATGAATCGTGACTACTACTCCAATACATCACGTGACACGCCTGAATGTTACATGGCGTGTACATCACTTCCCCAGTCATATTGCCTGATGAAACAGCCCATGATACCATCACTTCGGTCATCCCTTCAACTCATAACATGCGTGTATTTCAGATTTTGGATGTATGTTGCAGCCGAAATCACGTTTCGCCTCCCAAATTGCTCCCAGTTCTGCAACGGAGCGCTTTGAAAGCTCATTGTATCACACATCGTATAATACTGTCGGTACCTTCTCATCAAACCTGATCTTCATGACTGACAGCATCGTTCGGGAGCATGGATGGTATATCCTTGCGTACAGTCGTCACCGGCACGCCACCTCACTGTCTCGAAGTGGATAATCTACCCACCGGGGAGGAAATGATGTGATTTTAACCAGTAATGATGTCAGGGCAGAAGTAGTGGCAGGTCCGTGAACAAGAGAAGAACGGGCAGCAGGCGGTCGGGGGATGCCATGATATGTTGACTACAAAGCAGTCGAAGAATACCCTTCGTCAGCCATGGCTACATTCGGCGCGGATGGTACAGACTCGGAATCTCCTCGTCACGAGTAACCGTATACCAGGATCACCCCCGCCATCTTACCCTTCTCTTGTCTTCTTTCCCCATATCGAGTGTCCGGACGAGTCCCTCTACAACGGTCACGTCCACATAGGACTGAGGTCACAAAGCAAGTTCCATCTTAGCATCCTCCCGCCATACGTGCCCACATTGTGGTCTTTTTGCGCAATGATCCCTTTCAGCCATGACTACGGAAGTGGTGATTGACATGCAGGCCGACAGACTGGAATCTCGTATCCATTCGGCCATCTATGCAATGGGCGACGGACTACCAGCAGACGTTTGATGACGAGTGTGTAAAGACTGTCCATTTCGAAAGATTTAAAAAGTTTATTTTCAAGATCGCTAACGCTCTGGTCACCTTATTCGGTAGCAGGTATCAATTCAAAAGTGCATCCGGATCTGCTTGCGAACTCTCGTTTTTGGACGAGTTAAAACCCTGTCTTCACTGACATACTACAATGTTCGATTTCTAGGTATACCATGTCATTGGTAGTCCTGAATCTCACCATTGAGTATGTACAATGGGATAGCGGAGCCTTTGTTTCTACTTTTTTTTCGAGACCCGATAAACTGTTGCGCAGCTGACTACTCAACCCGTCTGGCTAGCTAAGTGTGTAGGCGGTCGGATTGTATTGCCCTGTCGTTAACCATGCTGTGTCTTTCAGCAGGGCCCATAACCACATTCTATAGAAGATTATAACTTGGACCATGTCGATGCCGAGCTAATTGTCCCATGTCCGAATGTGAGTTTGAACTGCATGTAAAAAAATTTCGATTTGACTGATCATTGACGAAACATATTCTGTAGCTCAGTCTTCATGTGTGAGTCGGTGATAGTATCTTCTCAATGGCAATGTATCGGAAGATGATTTAAATTGTTGTTTGTGACACCTGCGTTGGTGACGATGTTGGGATTAGCTATGACAAGAGCACCTCATGCATCGCACTACAGTCAGACCACCATCCCCAATACAGGTGTAGTAACTCTTGTGGTTGCGACATCATTCTGCTCTGTTAATAAAGTCCTAAATGTGAAGCATTCTACGGACGCTAACCTACGCCGCTCTGGCGTGATAGATGTTTGCGTTATATTCTTTGGCGACGGCAAGTACTCACTCCGTCTGTCCTTGAGCAGTCCACTTGTTGATTTTGCTCACAGGATACCAGGCCTTGCTCCACTCACCGCAGTCATGAGACGAATATCTTATACAATTCATAGAGGGTTACACGATGCGTGGTGCAATTATCCTCGTGCACTTCCACGAAAGCTTGGGCAGGGCGGGATGAGCAGTCGTGATTTATATGTAAGTCGGCTGGCGTATTCACCTGTCTTTGCAGGTCCACAGTTGATCTACGGCGTGTGACGTCGATTTGTTATCACTATTACTTGCTACTATAATCATTTTTATGTGTAAGTTCTGGTGGCAATAACGTTCAATGGAGGGCGTACGACATACTTCATCCCATGAAGTTTATGTACACAGTATTCATTAAAGGGACTCCGGCTGACTGCTGATTCATGAGGGGACGCGCCCGTCCGCATTTTCATCCTCAGAATTGACTGGGACAGAACTCGTTGAAGACTTGCAAGAATTGATTAAAAGTAAGAAATCTCGACTTCATGATGTGGATACCGATACTATCATCGTTATGAAGGTGAGCAGTCAATTTGTGGCTTTATCATATTTTCACAGACTGGATCAAAGGTTCTTTGCGACATCAATCTGGAGTCAGAGTGTGGGCACTTGGAAATTTTGGATCACGAAGTTCGGATATACCTCTCGGAAGTGTTCAAGACTCAACCCAAGCGTAACCATCTCTATGTCGTCATTGACGCTCCTGAAAATGGTGAGTTATACATGCATTGTGAATGCTTGCTATGCTGATGAACACTTTCCGGATTCTGAATAATAGTGGTTACTAGACTTGTGATACTAGATAATGAGTTGCGCTCTCCTTATCTCCGGGACTTCCTGGATGAAACACCCCAAAACGTGAATCCCATGCCAAGGTGTTAACAATATCATCGCATCAATGTGTTGTGTTGTCGTCGTTGTCGTCATTAGAGGCACTTCCTGATGCAAAAGCCTGGGATGTATGGCCATAGAACCACATTTACCCTAATTAACAAGTAAATTAGCAGACTTGCAAATTTACGCTAATTTACATAGGTTAATTTGACCTCCCGGATAGCCTCGCATGCTAATTAGCCCTGTTAATCTGGCCTCACTATCCTGCAGGCCCACGAAGTTCGCTTTGATCCTTGTCGCCGAAATGAACCGGTAGATATAATCCATCACATCGTACATTCTGCAATCCCAAAGATCCGAGATTCAAGAACAATATTAATGTCTCCTCATCATTGGAAGAATCCCCGCCCACCCTAGTAGGCTTAGAACAACAAACTCGCAGCAATATCTACATTCCCACCCGCCGCACCCAACATACTGATCGCCACCTCCCGCGATACGCTAAGTCCCATGATCAACTCGATAGCAGAATCTGGGTGTCATGATTGGGCAGCGGCGGGACGCACCGATGGATGTGGCGTAGGCGCCGAACCCAGCGTGTTTTCTCCACCTGGGAACGACGAGCTGCTGGTCCCAGCGCTTCTACCACCACTCGTTCGTACAGGCTGCGGAGTGTTACTGGAAGAGCTTGAGGTAGATGCGATGGGATCGTCCATAGAAATGGGATGGATAACAAGCGACGAAAGGTTTACTGGACACCCTTCGCACTTGAACCTTGAGTCGAGACACTACGCCACTAAACACATTCTTTGATGCCCTGGTTGAGGTTTTCATCTGCATTTCGGCGATGTCGCTTGTAACTGACAGGGTTTGTGTGGCACGTAAATTCAAATTCAAACTCGAGATAGTTGTGGCTGTCGTCAGGTTTCGAGCGACGTTCCAAGGATATTACGAAGTGATTATATGCCGAGCTTTGGATTCAGCTAAAAGGCGAGTTGATCCAACACGGGAGTTAGCGATACCACTGCACCTACGACTGCGTATGGTCTTGGCTAGCGATACATCAAGTTCGAAATCGCTTGTCACTAGCGGTTTACTGGGAGGGGTACCCGACACGGGGAATGCCAGTGGGTCGCAACCTGCAATGTTTGCAAGTCTCGTAACTTGTGAGTTGTGCTATCCATGAAGTAGTAAGCACTCGGCACTATGCTGATGCATAATTGACTCGGGACATACCGGGAATTCGCGTGGATCACACTGGACCTAACAATATATATGAAGAAGTCGACTGGAAGGTGTTGGGCAGGAAGGTACCTGAAGAGAAAGTAGAAGTATCGTTATCAACCAGCGGGAAAAGCCCACGAAAGAGAAGTAGTACACTCCAGAAGGCGCTAAGCGATTTTCAGGACAGACTGGAATTTATATTTTGTGGGTGTACAAATGACGTTGATCTTGTGGCAAATATCCGTACTTCACGATGCATGATGACGCAGTACGATACCGGGAAAGTGAAGTGGAGTTATTATTCTTGAGACGGGGAACTCGGCAGTATGTTGGAGCAAGATGGAGCGAGAATGCAACGTCCAGACTCATCAAATCACTTATCAGATATGACCTCAATACACAGTTGCTCACGGGTATATATCGATCAGGATTGAAACGCTGCGCGTCGAACTTATCCACTCAATCAGTAAGTTCTCGTACATAGAGCGGCCCTTCTGACCTTGATAGGGTAATGTGGTCTGTACAAAGTATCTGCCTTGGCGCCTCCAGGGTCCGATAATGAACGAGACTACTATCGGGAGATGACGTCAGCTCAGCTTGACTGGTAGGATCTAGAAATCAGACAAGGATATTGCTGTGTTCGGGTAAGTCACCATCAGCAGGGGAAGATTCGTGACACTCCCAGTACGATGCACGAAGGACATCAAGCTTTCGTTGCCTTCGCCTGTGAATTCGAACCCGGGAGAGACAACTATGCACATCATAAATAAGAATATGATATCACTGTAGCCAATGATTTTTGAGGCGCAAAGTAGTCTTGATTCCAGCATTTCAATCATCTATCAATGGTCATCGGCGCCCGGCCACCCCCATGCGATGGTCCGAGTTGCTCCGTCATGCCATGACTGTACTCTACGGCTAGCCAGGGTGGACATCGTAGAACGAAGAGTGCCAACGAATCCAGCTCCATTCGACTGAATGATAGCGTCGATGAACACCGGATGCCTGGTAACAGCGATAATTTCCAGCATCAGAATGAATATGACATCTAATTGGCTCACCATTTTCCATAGATCTCTTCTGTCCGCTCTGCCGCATAATCTACCCACGTCCACCCTAACGCCCTAACCTCCGACCACCATTCCGGATCACTTTCGTCACTGGTCATGATAACATGTGTGGCTTCAATCCCTTTTCGTATGCGAAGCTCCTCTTGTACCTCGGATACCCTGCGCGCAATGACGGACAACGAGGCAAAGCATTGATCCACAGGAACACCCTGACATTGATCGCGAAAGTCACCATGTCGTATGTGGACGGATACATACTATCCAAAGTTAGATCTGTAGAGCACCCTGTACCCGGAAAAGTCCACTCACGGGAGGTGTCGGTTCATTTGCTGGCACGTTCATGGCACGCCGGGCATGCATATCGGCAAGCCTTTCCATGCTTGCAGTCCATCGCATGTGTTGGCCTACAAATCTCCACGCGGGAGAATAGTCTAATTCCCATTCCCATGTATGATGGGCGCTTACGTAGTAAAGGAAGTCGAAGCATAATACGTGCTCGTCCGGGGGCAGGGAAACCTGATGCTGAGGAGAAGGGTGATTCGTTAACGGTAATGCCAGGCTGTTCGAGCGAGTCTCTGGAAATCCGAGTGATGCAAGTGGCCAAAAGGATGCATGATTGTCGTGTTTGCTAGGAGATGTCAGCTCGACCCAAGGTGGAGCTCGCGTCCACGAGATATCTGTGATGGCCATGTATTTAATCGCCGAAGAGGAATGTTCGAGGTTGTCTCACCAAGCTTGAGTAGGTTCAGGGAGGGACTTCCCCGTGGTGCAGGAATCGGGATGTGCTGTTGGACGGTTTCCCAGATACTCCAACAACCAAGATCGTCGAGAACTTGACTTTCTGGGTCTTTTACTTCGTGCCATTCAAGCAAGTGAATCCCTATGGCTTGACTAAGTCGAGGGATGTCGAACACTTCCCCAAAAACAAATGGAGGTGCACCTGGGTCGATATGAGTAGAAAGGAACTTTGGGATTATGGGTGTACGCTCTGTTATGAGTGCCAGGTAAATCAAATTGGCCTAGTTTTTGTGAGAAACTCGGACAACGCCAGAAGTGGATCGTTTACTTACATAGGTTATCACGTCGTTCGCTAACGAATAACTGTTATCAGTGATCCAATATTCAAGTGGTTGGTTGACGTACTCCATCCCGCTGAAGCCCACGATGTAATGTACTTCGTGTCATTGCGAAGGTTATCTAAGACCAATGTTATTGTGATACCCGAGCCTTGGACATTTTCATTGAATACTAACCTCGAAAGTGTTGAGTGGGTGGGCCTTGGACATATGACTGTGAGTCTAAATTGAAGATAGTAGAATGCGCAGGGGGATCCTGTATGTCTAGTCTATAGCTCGAGGGCTTGAGCAGGAGAGTTCCAAAGCCGAGCAAAAAGGTACCGGTCAGAGCTGCGCAGATTGTCCTGAGAGATGGCATCCTGCTTTTGACACGGAACATGGGAATACCGTTGAATGGATTCTCTAGGTGGTCGTGAAAGTCCTATTTCGGGCTCTCTCCTAGCAGGCACTTGTTTGACTGTCTGTTCAGTTCATGACAGGGTAGTCGAAGCAAGGGTGGGAGTCCTCGAGTTTGTGTGCGGATCATACACATGGCGGACACAGCTTGCGGTTACGTATGATGCGGTACCTGAGCAGAACTTATAATAGTTGCCATTTTGGGTGTACCGAGCTCATCACTGCAATCATGGTTAAGCACGCGCGGGATACTTTGTTGCAGAGGTTGTAGACTCAGTGAGTGACATGTAAATGTCACTGGAGACTTGGAACGTGTAAGACTGGCTGAAGACGATCAATGTACTGAGCGATAGGGGTATGGTGCTCACTGTTTGCCAGAAACCAAACACCAATGTCATTACCCGGACATTGAGAACAGGCTAGAGTCAACAACACAGCTACGCACTGGGAGATTACGTGCAATTCGTACTGCGAGTGTGTGACTCGGAGATGCTGGATGACATAATTAAAGTTTTGTGGCTGTGAAGATCTCAGGTTGCTGCGTAGGTGCTTATATCTCTTGGTTTGAAACTAAATCGTCGTTAACAGAACGATTCTTGGATGGTACAAGTGACCGCACCAACTTTCCCGCCGACCCTTGTCGATCTCAGCAGAAATGCCTCTGTCATATCATCATCCTCCGAAACTGACATCCTGGCGGAATTGTCAAAGTCTCCCCGCCCACGACCAGCACGTACATTCTCTTCCCCACGTTCTCAAAGCCCACAGTCCAGAACTGCTACTCCCTCCAGACCTCCAAATTACCTTACTCGTGAACTCGGAGTATCCAGCCATCCACAACCAGAACCTGTACAAGCTCAACAGCAGACCAAGGAGAGGAGCAAGAGTAGGAAGGGATCACGGGAGGCAAGTAGGGCGAGGAGTGCGAATGGCAGACTGGGAGCACAAGATTTTTCCTTTGGAGACACCCTTGGAGAAGGATCTTACTCAACAGTGTGTACATCGCTCATAACCCACACCGTCTACTCATACCACCTCAGGTAATGCGCGCACAATATATTCGAACTGGACAGGAATACGCTATCAAGATCCTTGACAAGAACCATCTAATTCGAAAGGACAAGATGCTCGTTGCCCTCGCAGAGAAGAACGTCCTCGTCAAACTGGGTGCCGGTCACCCTGGTATCATACACCTACACTGGACCTTTCAGGATGAGTGGAGTCTATGTCAGTACCACGTTCCTCTCTGTATGCTGTGTGTGTGTGCATCCGATCCCGGTCATCGGCCGGCTATTCCTCTTTGGCGGTTAGTGATTCACACTGCCACGCATGCTTTAGTGATCGGGTGCATGGACCACGCATATATCCGCTTTTCTCATAAACACACGTCGTTAATCTCCTACCAGTCTTCGTCCTTGACTTGGCGCCCAATGGAGAGATGCAATCTCGCATATCACGCCTTGGCTCCCTAAGCCTCACCTCTTCCAGATATTACGCGGCACAAATCATCGACGCACTAGAATATATCCATGGGAAAGACGTCATCCATAGGTGCGTTACTCCATCACCTTTCCTGGAGGCCATCTCCACCTCGCCCGAAAAAGGGTACAATTACTGATGTCATTTTCAGAGACCTCAAACCCGAAAACCTTCTTCTAGATAGCCAGTTTCGAATAAAGATTACTGATTTTGGTACCGGAAAGATATTAGAGAACGGAGGTAAGCTAATTCCTTCCGTGTATACGCCTTTCTCACAAGTCCCGAAGCGGAGAAAGCCAACACATTTGTGGGCACTGCGCAATACGTCGCACCAGAGTTACTAGAGAGCAACGAGACAAGTAAGAGGTGCGCTTACCTTTCAAAGCATGCGCATATATCTTTGGTTCCTCGAGTGTTATTACATTCATGCTCTTCGTTCCTGGCGTCAGTAGCTTACCATTTACATCCGCTGTCTTGCCTTCCTCGAACACAACTCATCAAGGTACTGATCTCCATTATAGCTCGGATCTCTGGGCACTCGGCTGTATAATCTATCAAATGATCTCCGGCAGATTCGCATTCCAAGGCCTCAGCGAATACCTCACCTGGCAAAAGATCAAGTCTCTCGACTACACCTTCCCAGACGGATTCGACGAAGATGCCCAGGACCTCATACGGCGTCTCTTCGTACGTGAACCGACACAGCGGCTCGGCGCCGGCGGTCCAGACTCTGCTCACTCATACGCGGCACTTCGGGCACATCCATTTTTCGCGTCTGTGTCGTGGGAGACGCTGTGGACTGATCCTGCACCTTCCTTGGAGGCGGGGCTGGTGAAGAAGGACGTGTCTGTGGCGGATGAGGTGGAGGGGGCACAGTGGGATGATGTGGGGGAGATGTGGGACCGATTAGTGGGCGGGAATGCTGATGTGAGTAGTGGGAGTGGGGAGGGCGAGGTAAGTGGGGATGGTGTGGGGTGGGCGAGGGACAGCGAGGGGACGATGTTGAATTCATTCAAGACACAACATGCAGGGGGTGGGTATGCGGAAGAGGGCCCGATGGGAGAGATGCCAGATTATATCGTGTGGCAGTCAAGGGCTCGTGAGGGGAGGGTGATGCCGGGGTTAGAAGAGGATTTAGAGGAGACAGAGACGGTCCTTGGCGAGCGCGAGCACGACACTGCATTACCGGACATGCAAACATCTCCACCACTAATACCCCAGGCCGGAGCGGGACCTCTGTCACCATCGGAAGCGTCTCCTGTCCCTACTGAGACCATTCCCCCAGCTATATCAATCCACGTCCCCAAAGTGAACGGACCAGGCTCAGGCTCCAGCTCTTCAGACGGGAGCCCCGTCGAAGGGGTGACAGCAGATCTCACCGTGAAGCTGAGGATTGGCTCAGATGCGGCAGCGAAGCTAAAACCAAGTCTATCGCGCGGACGGAATCGCGCGCAGACTCCGGTACAGGGTAACGGGCCATGTTCGAATGCTGATTGGTGCGTCGTTGATATACTCAAGTTCTCAAAACTATCCTAATCATATATATATTTGCTTCTCTTTTGTCACGATAGGTCAAGCCTTCTCTTACCGTCCGAACGCGTCCTCTTCCACACGCGCGTCGAGGCTCGGTCACCGAAACGTCGTGGTAGTAAACTACGTCTCCCGATTAGCGCGAGTCTCACGAAGACGAAGACGCGGCAGCTGGTGCTTACTAGTATGCGGTTGTTATGCGTGAAGCAGAAGGACGGTGGTCAAATGAGCTTGAAGAGTGAGGTCGGGTTGAGGGCTGGAGATAAGGGCAAGGAGCGCGAGAAGCCAAGGGAAGCCAAGGAGAAAGAGCGGGACGCAAGTAAGGACTGCAGAAATGTGATTGAGAGCGCAGAGCCAAAAGGCGAGCGGGAGTTTGTTATTTTGACTGTCAGTCCTTTCACTCCTGTTCCACGTGTTTTGCACCGCTGATCTTCGTGCATGTCGCAGTCTAATAGATCACAGACATACGCTGCAGAGACGAGCACTATGTCTGCGATGTGGGTGGAGAAGATCAACGAGGCTCTCGTTCGGGGAAATGCGCATCTCCAGACACGGACTCAGACATGAGGGGATTTGGACTGGGGTTAGGATGATATCCAAATGTAATTCACCGTCTTCATGCGCATCTGCGAACTCGACGACTCGGGATTGATATATCTTCTATCTCGGCCTGGAGTTTGGACAAATTCACGCGCGACTCGGAGTAACGATTTATGTAGTAATTGATATTGGTATTGGTATGTGCGTGCGTACATGTACAATTTGTATTACTTACAGGAACATTCGTTTTGGATCCGGGATTGGGTTATCGGTATCGGCATTTTTGCCCTTGTGTGTTGTATTTCCTGGGGTAAGTAATAAGTATATCCTCAATCGCTGTGTACGATGAACTTTTTGTCTCATAATATTGACGACAAATGATAAATCAAACTATGGGATTCATGGATCTGTGGTGCGAGCAGTGTTGAAATGAAATTTGGAGGAGTCGGACCTTGGCGATGGTCCGAGTCACTGCCATGATCATAGGCAACGATCTAAGCGCCTTGGAAAATTTCGTTGATGAAATGATCCTGAATTCTGAATTCAATTCCTCGCTCTCTCAGAGTCCTTGCTGACGGGTGTGCTCTGCAGCTGAAGATACTATCACTGCAGAAAACCGCAGATTACGTCTGGGACGCATCTGGCACGAATCTAGACATTCGCACCACATTCGTCGCACATTTTACTCACATCATAGCAACGCTAAAACTTCATACTAATCCTCTCATTATGACCAAATCCTGGCAACATTCTATGCGCTGTCCTCGAGCCTAGGATAAGCTCAAGCTTAATTAAGGTATCATGCATGTATATTTTGACATAGCATTTATATAAAACATATTTGTTTTTGATATCTTCGAGCGCGTGACGTTTATGAGGCCGTCGCGTCACGCCGCGTCGACGTCGTAGTTCTCAAGTCCATGACTTGCTTGTGTAGCTGTCTCACCCATTGCTTGTAATCTTCGAACCATGGGTAGAAAGGTAAGGACCATGAAGATATCTACTTCGCTGACCGAGGAAATCCTTCAATCAGGAGGAACTTGTACCCTGCTGATGCACGAAATGTGGGAAGACTGTCCTTCAGTTTACTATGGTCACTCCATGAACTCGGAGAAGACACGTAGAACAAGACACGGACCTGTTGAATGCACGACGGGCAGCCCAGGAATACAGTAAACATCAGAACAACTCGATTGCTGCTACTAGTACCAATGGACCCAGTCTCTGAAACTCAAACAATGTCCCTGAGTGGGATCCCAGTTATGACAACCTTCTGGACTCAACAGATACAAGTCCAATGGTCTATTCCTCAAGTTTACCTCCATCACCAAACCTCATTGCGGAAGACTCGCATGATGTTATAACAGACATTCAAGATCTGGATTTCAACTACTACCAAGATGACACGACTCTATTGGACGAAGGCAACAGTTGTAACAATGATATTTTTTATGATGATGATCTTGATCACCCTCACTCTCTGTCTCCACCATCTCGCCCACAATCCACCAGTCCCAAGTTCATCGAAAATGTTGATAATGCACCAATGAATCCCAGTGCCGACAACCCAGTCCCTCCCACGATGAACCATGCTGGCTCTGGTGCTGATGATGAGGATCTGCTTCAAGAGCTTGTTCCTGCTTTTCAACAGACACCTCCTGTTTGACTACTTTACCTGCAGGCAGCAATTGCTCACATTATTGGATCTTCGACAGTCGCCGAGGCCACCAATCAGATTCAAGACGGCCTGGATCTTATTGAGCTTTGTGGTGCATTACCGACATTCCCCATTCCTCGACGCTCGATCATCACCGTGAAGAAACACTTAGGACTCCAAATGGATGACTATGTTTTGAGGATCCCTATATGTGATGTATGCTACAAACGCTACTCTCTCGATGACATTCAGAAACTTGACACCCCTATATGCACGGTCTCTCGTTGCAAAGGGAATGTGTATCGTACCAAATGTGAACATACAGACCCTGCAACAGGTGAAGATTGGTTCAAGCGTATCCCTGTAAAGGTCCTCGTTTATTGCCCCATAATCAAAGCAGTACAGCACTTCCTTCTGAGGTCAACATTTGTCACCAATCTATGAGACACCTCTCAAGATATCGATCGCACAGAGCTCTCAGATGACAACTTGATGCATGATATACACGATGGCGCTGAGTGGACGAAGTTCGAAGTTGGTCTCAAGCGGGTATGTTTACCTGATGGCAGCATCACAGATATCGAGGAGTCCCCAGGCTCATGGCGTCCACTTGTTTGCTGTGATGTTGGACTCAGTATGACACTCAACATTGACTGGTAAGCTTATTCCCCTCAATGTCACAATGGTAGTAATAGATCTGAATCTTTGTAAAGGTTCAGAATCACTGAGGGTAGACCTCATTCCTTGGGTGTGGTGTATATTTCCTTCAATAACTTACACCGATCAGTAAGATACCTCATGCACAATGTCCACCTGGCGCTTGTCATCCCAGGACCCAAGGAACCAAGTCTCGAGAACCTCAATTACTGTCTCAAGCCCCTTATGGATGATATCCATCATCTATACAAAGGTACCTTCATTTCTCCACCTGACATGATTCTCTAATTACGAGTCAGGCCTTTATATGCGTATGTATGGATTTCAGCGCCCCCATGAGGTTCATGCAGCTGTTCTATGCGAAAATTCGGATATTCCTGTGACCCGCAAGTTGACCGGAATGGCGGGACATAGCCACAAGACTCACCCCTGCAATTTTTGCTTCATTTCTCTCATTGACATTGATTCTTCAGTGGCATATGACATTACAAGTACATCTAGTCTCTAATTCTGAAAGCTGCCTATGGTTATTGCTCAAACTTATCAAGATTTTCATATGCAGGATGACTGGAAACTACTTGAGCATGCACATCATTCAAAGTTATCTACAACTAAAGCTGCTCGCAAGAGTATTCTTGATGAGCATGGAGTCCGATACTCCATTCTCAATGAGCTGCCAGGTTGGCTACCGATGCGCTGTTCACCGATCGACTTTATGCACAACTTTTATGGTATTTTGTTCTGCTTTGAATTGTAAGCTGACAAGTCTTTTCTTCCATACATAGTGCTTGTCAAGCGCTTTCTATTTGATATTGTTATGGCAGGACATCTCCTTGATAGCACGGGTTGGGACCTGTTTCAAAACTCCATCAATTCAGTTATCTGGCCATTGGGAATTGGACGCCTTCCCAAAAATGTGATCTCTTGGCTGATGTATACGGTATACCTGACCGTTTTTGCTGATGTTGCACTCTTAGCTTGCCGATGATCATGGGCTCCCCAAGGCTGATCAATGGTGACATCTCTCGAGCATATATCCATTCATACTGTGGCTATGTTGGCGAGATCATCGTGATGAAATCAAGGCCTCCACACCACCAGTACCTGCATCTGCGAAGCCCCAACCAACTTTCAAACATGATTTACAAACGATATACAAACTCGTTCTCTATCTCTCTGTGTCTGAGCAGATCCTTGCTAGCAAAGCAATATCAATCAATGATATAGATCAAGGTCAAGCATACTTACAACTCTATTGTCAAGGTCTCGAGTCGCTCGGTGTCCATCAAACAATCAACAGTCATCTCGCCATGCATTACTCCCTTGTCTTCCGCCAATATGGACCTGCATATGCCACGTGGCTCTTTGGCTTTGAACACTTCAATGGTGTCTTAGAGGACGTGAACCTCAATGGACATGGAGGTGGTGAGATGGAATACTCATTAGCGCGTGATTGGGTTGAAAAACATTGACTTTATGAACTTGTAAGTTCGTTCTTGCCTTGCAACAATACTTATAGTTTCAAATAATAGGCTATTTCTTTACCTGAAGGGGCATCCGACAAGGAACATAAACTCGTCCAATGGGCCATTGACCAAAAGGGTCTTGATCACGGCACATTACGCATTCAAATTGCTCAATTTACATCAGGTGAGTTTCAACAGAACAGTCAACTTGAACATCCTATTAACATTGAGAACAGCCAGTTCTATCTTGCCTCCATGGCTCACTTCGAAGACGAAATTCACCAGCTTACGGGGCCTTCAGCATCCGCAGGTATATCAACTGCTTGTTGGATTCTTGCAGCACAAGTTTCCCGACCTCAATGTTGTTGACGATATGACAGCGGAGCTAGGCACTACTGTTCTCTTCGCTAGTCGGTCAGCAAAGGTTCTCCCCTTCATTGTCAAGGATGGCATCTGATTTGGGTCTGCAACTGCAACTCAAACAAATGCTGACCAGTTTGCAGGTGTCTTGATGCATGACACACGTGTCCCTTGCAAAATCATATATCATTTTGAAATACACCTTCCCGACCAAGTGTTCTACTGCTCCGCTGTTCAGAAGATGGTATCTGACGATAAAATTCCTGTAATGCTGTGGGATCGTTTGTGAGCATTTTTCATTCACTCATATATTTTATTAACTCCTTGAACTGTACTCTAGTGCAACTGATCTTGGTGTGAACATCGTTTACGAGAATATCTTTGGACCACTCGAGATAATCACATCAAGTCAACTTTCATGTGCAGTAGCAATCATTCCCATCACGACCAATGTTCTTGTGGAGGAGAAGTCCTTGTGGGTAGTTCAGTCCTTTGACCGGGTGAGTCCTATGAAAGATTTTTCCTTATTCCCAAACTCATTTACCTCTAGACTGGGCTTGAAGCTGATGATAACTGGTTGCGCAGTGATTCAGACAAAGATGGTGACATTGCAAGCTAGGTAGGACTCTATTTTTAAAACTTAGTTGAATAAAATATCAACATCATCAATACCTTCAAGAATTTTGCCAAGCTTTTGCTGCGCAGTCTCAAGCACGCTCATACTAGCCTCATTGACAGTGTTTCGTTGGCACACAATCACCTTCTTGGCAGTTCTGGAGTCCTGAGCCTTCCCCTTTCCTTTCCTATCCTTCACCAGCTCCCTTGGCTCCTCTTCACCCCATGCTTCACCACTGTGAGCAACACACCCAGAGTCAAACCAGTCTGCATTTTCCTCAAGGATTACAGTCTTGACCATCCATGAATGTATATGTGTGGCCAAGGTTCGTGCAAGAGGTGGTGGGCCTGTCTTTTGTTCAGCTGCTCTTCTCCACTGCTTCACTAACTTGGCTTGGTCAGGTCGCGGGTCTTTTACCTCATCTATGGCTGCAAAGAGCGCGGACAACTAACAAAATACAGTAAGTGCTTATGGTGTTGACAGCATCGGTGACAGCACTTACCTCAAGGCTTCGCCATTCTGGCTCCATTGTCAAGAAGGTGCGTGCTTCACCTGGATGCTGTTCTGGGTCATCTTCATCATCTGACATCGCATTTAAAATGAATGCTGAGTCGTATTTAGGGTCTTGCCACTTCTCATCACATTCATTTGATCTGCATTTCCTCTTGTGCGCATCAAGTTTCTGATGGAACGACCAGTAAGTACAATCTCATTACCACAGAAAACACATACTGATTGAACACGTGAATTCATGTGCGCACGATCCAAACCTCCATCAACAATCTCCACGTCATCCCCCAGGTCATCATCTTCATCTACTCGCTTCCTTTTCTTGTCCGCTTTTCTGTATTCACCCGCCATTCGCATATATTTTGACTGCACACTTTTTTCAATTTGGCCAGGAAGGATCGCAAGGAGAATTCCCTTCATTGCATCTCCCATCTGTGGTCCCACAAGACGGATCCGATCCACTACCCTCTGCAAACCTGCTGTGTTGATACTGTCATCGTGCTTTCCTACCCGCCAGTCAAAGCGAATCAAGTCTTTCCCTGTAGCAGGATCTTTCGGCCATTTATCTGTCCCTTCTCCGATACCCATTGGGTAGCCAGGTAAGTGCTGTGCATCGAGTTTCTGGAGGCCTAGCAGAATTTTGAAGCTTTCGCCTACTAGGTCCTTCGTTCCAGTGTTCAGTTCAGTTTTTTTTGCTGTGTGACATACTAAAAGGTATGTACTTTGAATATTTTGCTCTTCAGTGCATCATCACTTGCATGCTGCTGATCATCCTTCTCCACCTTCACATTTGTGCTAGATTGCTGCCCACCATCATCTATCTGCTCACCCTCATCATTCTCAACATCTGCATCATCACCAGCTTGAATATACTCAATGCCGACCTGCGCTTCGATGCATCGCAATTGCTCATCTGCATCTTTCTGTTGCAACTTCAGGTGCGAATTTTCGGCTTTGAGAAGCTTGTTCTTGTTGTATAGGAACTGAAACTTCTTTCTGCTTGGTCTTTAAAGGTCGAAAATTTCATTTCAAGCTGTTCATGGGCAACAATTGTGGCATTGAGTCTTGCAAGGTTCGCGGACATCGTGAGGGGGAGAATTCAACTGTACCATTACTCAGACATTTTACAGTGCTTGTAACTACATCTGAGATTCACCACTAGTACTGCTATATGATCTGCTTGTTGCTATGGCCAATGATTCGCAGCGCAAGCAGTAATTGGTGAGCTATAGCGGGCTGCAGCTGGCAGCTGGGGGTACTGGTAAGTAGGACAAAATTTATTATATAATAAATAATATCAATATTTGGCGTACATGCTCGAGGATTATAGAGTGAACGAGTCACGCAAGAACCTACGTGAAATGAGACACGGATACACGAAAATTGCGACCAATCGTTTGACATTACAGTGACAACGGACCTGACAAAAATCTTGCACGAGTTTGCTACGGATCTGGAGGTTTTTGCCACATCCGTCCCAGACATAATCTGCCTTTTTCTGCAGTGTATGTCATTGCGGCCGCGTACGTTGTTAATTGATCCTGTACGTACATACCATCATAGAGTCTTACACGGTTACACGTGACCATCACGACGACACATCATCTACTCGTCGTCTCGTCCACAGCCTTATGCAACGAACCGCACACGATCATGATGACCTACCATCTTCTTCCCAGGGACTTTTGTTAAGTAAACGGCCTTTTGCCAAGAGTCCGATCGCAAGGATCTATTGCCAGTGAGGTGAATCTCAATAGGCTCGTCACGCTATGCTACATTTTGACTGTCCTTCATCCGTTAGTACTTTAGTGGCGAAGCGGGTAAAGAGCCTGCCAAAAATATATAGACTAGGTCATAACGGTGCGTCCGACTCTTTTATCCATTACACCCTCTCAGCGCTGTCTTGATTAGGTTGGCGTCATACCTTCACCAGAGGTCAATCTACCGGCAATCACGGGATCTGTTTCTAGCTGTGCAAACTGATGCCTGTCACCGCCGCATCAGCTCCACAATGCAAATTGAAGATTTGATACTCACCATTTCTAGCATCCTCATGATACGACAACTCGATATCCGAGACAGAGTGCAAGAAGGTGCGCATGAAGCGACAAACTGCCAGAGGAGAGATTTAACATTGAGATATGTGCGCTACCCGGGTTAAACGTGAGTTTTCTGTTTGCTGCATGTAGATCTCCCCCTATTTCGGGTTTTGACAGTACCTGGGAAGATCTGACATGCTCCCCGCTGTGCTATAAGGCAGCGAGAGTGGAGATAATGGGCCTTTTGATGATCAGAATGTCAGTATTGAATTGATAGACCACATGTGTGGTAGGGGCCTCTCGACAATGGCATCTGACCGGGAAAACGTTTAACGAACAGTTCCAAAAGTACCTCTTTTGCGGTGTTCAGATCTCTTTGGTGATCCGAGCGCTGGATGGTGGTATATCTAGCACAAATGTTATCGTCATACAGCCATCAAGTTCGCCGCTCCCTCACATCCATCCTCTAACAGTATGACCGTAGTCTCAGACGACCCTGGCTGGTGGCTGTGGATCACTTCGTGGCACATTTCCAGCTATTTTGTAGGTTCGTGGTAGTCGGACGTTGACGCTGACGTCCCGATCTGAGCTTGACTGTGGTTTCGCAGTTGCCGCCTCTGTTGGTGTGACGTATGATTGGGGTGAGCATGATAATATCGAAGGAGTACTGATAACTTATAAACATTTCTAGCACTTACATTTGGACAAGAGGTATGTTGATGCTATGACCGGAACGACCATCTCGCTAAGAAAGGTTTTATAGGTCGAACTAGTCTGGGTGAGCAGCCACGTCAGGACTTAGAAGAACGACATTAATTTGCGACAGAGGCAACGTTGGTCCCTGATGACCGTTCTGTATCTGAGTGTATGTAGCGTGCATCATAACTGTGGTTGGTAACTCTTGCTTACCTTTGAGAATATCCTAGGTGCGCTACCTCGGAATATTGTTTGCTGTGTATGTTCAAAAGGCTCGGTGCTGTTGTTGTACTAATGAACCATACATTTCAATCAGCTTGAACATACTCAGTATGTCTTCTCATATTTACCGTCTTGACCTTTTCTGATCTGCGGCATACAGTCAATGTTCCGACGATCTTGTTGACAGATGCAGTGAGTCTTCCGTACCTATGCCTGCTATTCCCACTGATCAGCTGCGGCGCCCTGTAGGGGTGAGTGTGATGTTTGATTAGCTTCTTGGTTCACTATAATGACTTTCATAGATGTGAGTTTGTTTAGGGTGTGTGATCCACCCAAGGCTGATTGCTAACTGGATTTATCAGGCTGGATTCTGTATATTTTAGTGAACTGGATGTATGTTGTGGTATTTCCAATGCTGCGGAGTGAGTTTTTCCGTTACAAGACCTCAGTGATATTGATACTAAAACATGTTGCAAGTCATCATGATCACTCGGTTACATGCCATGTATCAACAATCCAGAAAGATGTTGATATTTCTCGTTGTCATCTTCCTGGCTGATACCATGTTCAACGTAGTGGTCTCTGTAATGTCAACGATGCATACTTCAGGAGGTAAGCTCAAATCTGGATGAACACAAATGTGCATGAGGCTCATTGATGAATACTAGAGGAATACATTCTCTCTGGCACCTATGAATGCGCGACTACCTATGGGGAGAATACCATCCTTCTGAATTCCCTTACTTGGATATTCGGCACTGTGTGGGAGATCATCGCACTGTTTCTCGCAGTATGGATTGCTGTAAAACACTTCCGTGAGCTGCGACAACATTCAACAGGAGGCGTCATAGAGGATTGTTTCACGGTATTGATCAAGTCCCACGTGTTTTACTTTTTGGGGTAAGCTCGAGATATGAATATGGTTCACTTTTTCCGCTGAAGGATCAAACATGTTAGCTTTGTTGCCGTTTCTTGCTTCAACCTCGTGATTTTGTCTCCAGCGATCTCAGTGGTATGCGGATTTGTCTGACCTCTGCATGCAATCATAGCTCATCATTTCTATAGAACCCAAATACCCTCGGACTTGATTTTTATTATGGTACACTCCAAATTTTGACGACTGTGCAGATGTTTGTGCTGGGACCACGCTTGATCCTTGGCATTCGTGACTATACCGCTAAACTCGTAACCGACTCCGACGCAGCAACCCACATGACCTCAATCGCTTTCCAGGAGCGCGTGCATATATCGACTGGCAGTGGTGTGTAGTACGAGAGATGCTTTGTGAAGTAAACGGTTGTTCGGTGCCCTGTAGCGAGCAGGAGAATTTGGGTTTTTAATTCATTTTCAGTTTCGTTGTGGTGCTTATTTAGTTATTTGGTATTGCGCAGTGGATTTCAAGAGATATAGGTCTGAGAAAAAGTCTTCGTTGTAATGTGTATTTATGTATGCTACTTACTCTCCTCGAGGAATGAAAAATGATCCGTTTAGTACTAGCCTGATATTTTGAAGATGATCGAGCCCTCTTATCAAGTATGATAGCGACGGACGTCACGGACTGCGTGCACGGGCGGTAGATGCATTGGTAGGCCCCATCATTCTTTATCCGAGATACAGAAAGTTCATCAATTGACACTCACGATGGAGATAAGATGGTATATGGTAGTCACATAAGAACTCATAGCTGCAAATTAATTCGCAAGATCAGTTCGATACTTGATTGAATGCACGGTTCGCACAGCATCGGCTGTGATGAGAGCTCGCCAAGGTTAGAAGAATTAACGGCCGTGTTGTATTGCTACCGGCACTGGAAGTAGGGGTGTTGTCTCACAAATAAATGCGCCTTGAAAGTGGAAATGCCCCCACTACAAAGTCAGCATCGTTTTGAGACGCGGGAAGAGATAAATTGAGCTGCATCCGGTGCACACGCAGATCTTGGGAGTCGACGGGATAGAGAAGTGATATTGCAGTAAACTATATGGATGAGTTCGGACAAGTTCATACGGCCATCCAGGACAGATGGTATTCGAGCGCTGGGAAGTCGCAACTGTACTGTCAGAATTAGACGCGAGGAGATCCGTTCTGGAAGCTCCGGAGACAAAGGTCGAGCGCATGTAAACAATGCAGAGGCGCCGAGAGGGTATATATGCTGTCTAAGAAGTCGGGCATGACAATATGGAGCATTCCTGCTACAACGGTGATGGTGGTGTGGAAGCGAACAGTCTCGTGTCTTGGGCGTCTATGGAAACACGAGGCAAGCAAATGCGGTGATACGCACCTCTGCAGCTTAGAGAAAGACACCCACGATCCCTCCAGTCCCCCTCGACCGTGCTTGACACCATCAGCCTCCAGTGGAATGTCGGAGCTAAATATAAGCACCACACCCCTACGAGAGTTTAAAGGTCATGAAGAACGAGTGAGGGCAGTCGCAGTTTTCCCTGACAAACGACGAATGATCACAGCCTCGTTTGACCGCACGCTTCGTATATGGGACTTGAAGAAAGGTGTTATGTTGAAGAAGATAGAGTGGCATCACGGTTGGGTGTCGGCATTGGCGGTATCACGAGATGGACAATTGATAGCAAGCGGTGATCTGATCGGAGTGGTCACCGTCTGGCACGGAGAAACAGGTGAACGACTCACTGGAAACATCGAAAACTACGTCAGATACACCGACTATAATCGAATCTTATCGCTGGACTTTTCCCCCGATGGAAAAGTACTGGCCACTGGTTCAACAGACAAAACGTTGAAGCTGTGGTGCACCAAAACTTGGGACCTGCTACTGGGAAATTCAATCCACTTTAGTGATCACGTCAGCCATGTTCGGTATTCGCCGTCTGGAGAACTTCTTGCCATCGCAGCAGACAAGGTCGAAATTTATAATTCAAGCACAAGGGAACGCGTCACAGAGTTGGAAGTTTATACAACGTACATCGCGTGGACGCCCGATGGCACGCGCCTTCTTTTAGCATGCATCGACCGCACCATACGGGAGTGGGATACATTGACCTGGCAGCAGGTCGGTGATCGCTGGACGACAGGCCACACTGGCTATATCAACGCTCTCGCTGTTGATCCCAATAGCACACTCGTTGCTTCTGGCGCTTCTGACAGCATTCATCTC